ATAAATTTAAAATTATTTTATAATAATTAATATTTAATTTAAATATAATATACAAGAGGGAGACTTTATACAAAAGTCGATTGCTTGGGTACCTCTGTCTCATTCGTGTTTCAACCGTAAAGCAGTTGTGTTTGCATGGCTGTGTTTCAGTTTGAAGGGTGGGATATGGCGTGAATTTACTGGGTACGGAGGAATAACACCTGAGTCCTCAGGAATGGCAACGCATGAGGGGTATCATGGGTGAAACAGTATACTCTGTTATGTCCATGGTACTGCTCATGTCTATAGGCGACGGTTACCACTTTCCATCAGGTGGGTCGTCAGCTTGTTTGCCATTCTAAGTTGAATAAAAAAAAATATACAAGCTTGTTACTCGCTGATAATGTAGCTTTCTATAGACGAAAGAATTTTTAAAATCAGTCAAGTAGTTTTTGCGTTTATCCATTACAAACAAACAGACATGTAAATCTTTCCTCTTTATAATATTAGTATATATTAACATAATCATGTAATACAGTCACGAAAAATACGGACGAATTGAGATTTTCCTCCGATTTGTTTCTTTCCTTTCTATTTTTTATCCGACTCCAAATAGAAGAAAGGTCTCTCAAATCGATTGTATTTTTTTTTTAAACTTTGTCACCTCATAACTCCGTCAGTTATAAACCGATTTGGAAAATTCTTTTTTGTCTCAAAGCAAATAATAATTTACAGAATTTTCCGATAGAAATTTTATCAAAATCGCTTTAGTAATTCAGTTTTTAAACTAAAATAACTGTTTTTTTTCCATAATTGTAATAGTTTTTTTCTTTTTTCATTTTAAACTTATCACTTCGTCCTATTTCAATCAGTGGAACCCTAAAAACTGTTTTCCTTTAACCGTAGTCAGCATTGTACCGCCGATAGGTCAGTACACTCGTCCCACACAAAACAGTTCACGGAAATCGAACCTAATGTACCTGTACTAAGAACGGCCTACTCGCGACACGACAATGGGCATTATCTACGTGCAGATGGCATTGAGGCCTACTGCCCTACAATTGCGATTAACATGTTTTCTAGTTGATGGCTGACTTTATTTTATAGTCCAGGAGCCATGATCCAGTTTACAGTAAAAAAAAATAGATTTTTAACCTATAAAAATGTAATAACGAAGCTTACTCTGATTCTTTTTTTTATACAACTTAGAATGGCAAACAAGCTGACGGCCCACCTTATGGAAAATGGTAACCGTCGCCTATAGACATAAAAAGAACCATGGACATAACAGAGTATACTGTTTCGCCCATGTTACCCCCCATGCGTTACCATTCCTATTCCTCTGTACCCTATAAATTCAATGCCGTATCCCACCCTTCAAACCGAAACACAGCCATGCAAATACAACTGCTTCACGGTTAAAACACGAATGGGACAAAGGTACCCAAGCAAACGAGTTTTGTATAAAGTCTCCCTCTGACAATTAAATTGATTCATTTAATATACATGTGTAAATGCAAAATGCATTTACACATGCATTTATGTCATTTTTTTGTGATTCATGACAAAACGTAGTGAAAACCTCGGATAAAAGTAAAGGAAATCGCATTTATTTGTAGAATAAATATTTGACATTTAGTTAAAAATTGTATCTGGCAACCCTGTATTGGGAATTGGTTAATCAAATCAAATGAAAGACATCATACATTGGGATTTAACAATTAAAAAAATATTTTTAAAAATCGAACAAGACTTTTAAACATAAATACTACGTAAACTCTTAATAACCCAGATCACATCTCCAGATCTATTAGGGATGATTGATGATCGATTAATTACGATTAATTGATCGGAAAACCGATTATCCATTTATGCAAATTATTGCATAAATGGATAAATGTTATTAAACATCACTATTTATAATTGATATAGTGATCGATGGGCTTGTAACAGTGTGTAACGGTTATATAAAACGGTTATTTTTATCTATTGTACTAAAGCATTGTACGAGTACTCAGTGATTTATCTCTCCATGTACCTTCCAGTGATCGATATTTTTTTTTATTTTGGACAAAATAAAACTAACTAGAGCGTAAACATACTAGGAAAGAAGCGTTAATATTTTGGGTATTAAATTATGATAGAATGATACAACAAATTTAAACTTAATTTCTTCCTTCTAAACTCTTATTTCCTTCTTCGTAAACTTTAATTTCTTAAGTCATTAATTTTTTTTAATTAGTTCTTAATCAGAAGGCATGGCAGCGCCCCCGCCAAGTTAGCATGGCTGTATTATCCTTTTTTCATGACTCGCGACTCATTTGATTACACTGTGAGTTCATTATGGATAAAGTAATAAGTTTTAAACTTAATTTTTTTAATTATCAAAAAGACATACTAGTACTAGCTATATTGCCAATATACTAATAATTATACTTTACAGTTTATGAATGATTAGTCAAAGTTCTTTAATTTCATCACTAATATCCTCATCGATCATCGATATTTTAATTGTCATCACACAATCTCATAAAATTTAAATTAAATTTAGTCTATAAACGAAGGAAAAAATGAAAAATTCCATAATTTAAATATTCGTTTTAATTAAATGAAAAATAGTTTGTATTAAAAATTACGTTCACTCGTTCAAATAAGACATCGCATTTGCATTCGCTTACGGACGAGACATATTATCAAGGAAAAAAAAGGATAATTTCAAAAAGAAATGAGATCCCGTCAAAAACATAAAATGTAAAAAAAAATGCCAAGTCTCGCAACGTAGTTCTTTCAATACAAAAAGTTGTAAGATCTTGTATAAAACCAAGCCAGTTATTTTATTCCCGGTTTAAAATTGGTCACAACTTCCTTTCCCGTGGGTGTCGCAATAGTCGACTAAGGGAATTTATGATCGAGGGATGGCCAGCAGCGTCCCTCTTAAAACATAACCAAAGGCTCAACTGCGGTTGCCAACCCACCTACCTAGCGTGGCAACTACTGCCCCCCCCCCCCCCCCCCAAATTATGGAAAGATCTGTGTTAAGGAGTGGATTATTAGTGGCAATTAATGGTTGATATGGATCATAAAAGTTAGAATATTAACAATTAAAATAAAGTAATAAAATCTAATGCATTTGAGATCGTTACTCCATCTAGTAGGGGGGTCGTTCTTCACTGTCTTTGCTCATACGGGCTTGCCACTCAAGAATCTTCCCCATCAGTTGTTAGTTCTTTGAGATATGCGACTAGCGACTTTACCAGAGGGAGATTTTGTACAAAAGTCGATTGCTTGGGTACCTCTGTCCCATTCGTGTTTCTACCGTGAAGCAGTTGTGTTTGCATGGCTGTGTTTCGGTTTGAAGGATGGGATATGGCGTGAATTTACTGGGTACAGAGGAATAACACCTGAATCCTCAGGAATGGCAACGCATGGGGGGTAACATGGGCGAAACAGTATACTCTGTTATGTCCATGGTACTGCTCATGTCTATAGGCGACGGTTACCACTTTCCATCAGGTGGGCCGTCAGCTTGTTTGCCATTCTAAGTTGTATAAAAAAAAAAGCCTATTGCTACTTCAGCTTGCTTACCCTTTAGATGGCTCAGGACCGTCCTTTATGGCAGTCTAAGGAGCAGGCCTATGTTCAGCAGCGAGCAGATAATGGCTGATGATGAATAAAACGTAAAGGCTTCATCTGTTCATAATTTTAATCTACCTTATTAGAACCTCATGGGTTTCTATCAACTGTCACTGAAACCACTGTATTATTGAGGACTCTATTTACAAGTAAATGCCAGTGTGTCAGATATCTATCGGTGTTGTGGGGAGCGTGGGTGGTACACAGTTCGGTTGTCAAGAACTGGGCCACCAGTTAACTGCGTTCCGCGTAAAGGTTAAATTAACTAGTTTAGCTCTCATAAGCTTAGTTAAGTACTTCACTTTTTACTTGAACAATCTATTGATTGTTTTTTTTTTTAATGGATGATAATGAAATGGTGACCCCGTCTGCTATCAGTATATGCTGGCGGGGCACCAGTGAGAGATGATAGGCGAGGTAGAAAGCAAGCCAGTTAGACCATCGTGACGAATTTCACTAGATTTAATCACGATAGTTTCCGGGAGGAACCGCGTGAGGATCGACCTGTTAGGGTTTGTTGCTAGTAATAAGGAAATTAGACCCCATTACTAATAACCCCTTTCCTGCTATCTATCGATTGTTGGGGCAGGTATACCTTTATGAGTAGTAAGTAACCTATAATTCCAATTCCTGTTACGAAGGAGCAAGGATTGTTACTAAAGCTGTTTATTTATTTTTCTCCGTACTAATTATTGGTATCTATATATGGTGTTATTGTATGGTCCCGGGATAGGATGGACCACTCATTGCATTCCCATGGTAGTCGTAAGACTAAGAGAATAGTCAAGGGATGGGTAGCGTCTCTCTTAAAACATCACCAAAGCCTAACTGTAACATAGTTGCCAATCCACAGTCCTCTTCTTCATAGGGGAGGCCTATGTTCAGCAGTGGACAGTTTGATGACATATACTATATTTACCCAAAAAAAATGTTACACATAGTTTCAAACTCTATAGTCGTATAAATATTTCTCCATGCATTTCTTTTCTTGGAATCTCCAAATTAGTCAAAGTTGATTGCTTGAGTACCTCTGTCCCATTCGTGTTTCTACCGTGAAGCAGTTGTGTTTGCATAGCTGTGTTTCGGTTTGAAGGGTGGGATATGGCGTGAATTTACGGGGCACAGAGGAATAACATCTGAGTCCTCAGGAATGGCAACGCATGGGGGTATCATGGGCGAAACAGTACACTCACTATGTCCATGGTACTACTCATGTCTATAGGCGACGGTTACCACTTTCCATCAGATGGGCCGTCAGCTTGTTTGCCATTTTAAGTTGTATAAAAAAAATGTATAACTAAAACGATGAACGATGTCAAAAATATGAAGGGTTAAGGAAAACCACAGACTTTTAGAGACACAGGTATAGAGGTAATAAAACAAAGAAATAGTTTACATAAAACAATTTATGTATAAATATTGTAAGTATAAATATTTATTATACAGATTGAATAGAAAATTTAATTGATTTTGAACACAGCCTTTGCAATATTTCCAACTTTCAGATCGTCCAACGCGTTCCGGTACTCTGATAGAGCGTATGTCTTCACTCCTAATTTATGATAGTCGAGATACCTAAAAAAAAGACGTGTAGAATCATTACTTTACAATAAACTAGCGGCCCGTCCCGGCTTCGCACGGGTGGACATTTTTACATTTTAAAAAGTGATTATTGTGACATAACGATAATAGTTGGACATATTGTATCGCGAAGTTTTTTTGTAGTCATTGATATTTTCTTCAATATTGTAGAACATACTTTTGTTCTATCACCAATAGTTACCGCAGCGCACGCGACCAAAGATATTTTTTTAACATTTTTTACACCTTGTGTTACATTACTAAAATTTTAGTAAGGATCCCTAATCTTTTCTAGCAATAAATTTCTACCTATGTTACTCAGAGTGAATGTAGCTTTCTAATGGTGAAAGAATTTTTGAAATCGGCAAAGTTGTTTTTGAGTTTATTCATTACAAACATATATAAACACAAAAATACAAATCTTTCCTCTTTATAATATTAGTGTAGATTATATAAGTGTAAATTATAGGTTTCCATTCCGTATGATATGAAGTCGTAGATCATCCCATTTTCCCCATTCTTTCCCCCTCTGTACACTATGTTGTGCCCATGGTACTGTTTCTGTAGGTGACGGTGATTACTTACTATCAGGGGTACTGGGGTACTTCAGCTTATTTGACCATTGTAAGTTGTATAAAAAAATAAAAGATATGAATACACAGTAACAAATAGCAACAATCACCTGTTACCCATGGCACTGAGCCATCCGATGGCCTTCGGGAAACTAAATGGGTTAATTTTTACACCGATCAGCGTCAGTTCCTTATCGTATATCTGGAATGGATTCACCCTGGGAACAAGTAAAGTGATTTAAATGTCATTATCTTATATATAAAATTCTCGAGTCACGGTGTTTGTTACCAAACTCCTCCGAAACGGCTTTACATCATCATCATCATCACAAGATTTTAACACATTATAAACGCTAAATCAATATGGTATATACTCACGACGCCTGATGAGTGGGTGGACAGCACCCAAACAGTACATATTTCCCGCCTGGAGTGAGATAATTAAAGCTGATCTCCATCACTTTACCCACGCCTGTTGACAATAAAATATAATATACTATATTGTTTCTACAGATCCTTCTTGTATATATTTTTATTATTGAAAAATTGAAACACACATGTTCTTATTATGGAGGGGGGGGGGGGGTAGTACCGTACAGTACGGCAATTTTGATTTATCTTTAAGAAGATTGTCAAAATAATGTTTACATTTCCAAGCATGTTTGAGAAAAAATATATTTATTTATTACTTACCTGTGCAGTCAATAATAACATCGTATTGTATCTTCTCTGAAGCCAAAACATCAGGTGTGACTAGTCTGAATCCAGTTTCTACAAAGAAAAAAAAAATTTCAAATATGGAATACCTATAATTCTATATTCAAAATAAACAGTCGGTTGAGATCAGATTATGACACAGGGCTGTTTGAATTTTTAATTAATTGTCCGATATAATAATTAATTGGAATATTTTCTTACCTAGTCTCTTCACGATTTCCAGTCTGGATTTGTTCATTTCGGAAACAGTGACGTCCCTGTGGCCGTGATGGTGAAGAGTTGTCACCCATAGATTCCCTGTAATATAAAGTGACTTTTTAAAACAATAATAATAATAAATATCACAGGGTATCTCACCAACGTTATCTAGTTCTAAACTAAGCAGGATTTTTTTATTAGTTTCCATACAAGGCTATGCGAACACAAGTGCTTCACGGTAGAAACACGAATGGGACGGAGGTACCCAAGTAGACGATTTTTGCACAGTTGCCATACCATACCAAACCATAGCAACCGCTAACTTTAAATTGCTGAACATAGGCCTTTGAAGGCTTTTCCAAGTAGTTGCCACGCTTGACAAGTAAATTGACAACTTCGGTCAGGCTTTAGTGATATTTTCAAATGGATGCTGCTGCCCATCCCTCGACCACTAAGTTCCCTTAGTCACCTCTTACGACAGCCACGGGAAAGGAAGGGGTACAAAGTTTCCCTCTGGTAAAATTACTGCATACCTTCTTGCTTAAGATTCTGCATCGATGATAAATAACAGGAAAAGGGTTAAAGATAACGACGGTAAAAGTTAATTATTTTCCAGAAAACAATTTTTTTTTTTTATACGACTTAGAATGGCAAACAAGCTGACTGCCTACCTGATGGAAAGTGGTAACCGTCGCTTACAGACATGAGCAGTAGTACCATTTACATAACAGAGTATACCGTTTCGCCCATGATACCCCCCAGCGTTGCCATTCCTGAGGACTCAGGTGTTATGCCTCTGTACCGTTTAAATTCACGCCATATCCCACCTTTCAAATCGAAACACAGCCATGCAAACACAACTGCTTCACGGTTGAAACACGAACGGGACAGAGGTGCCCAAGCAAACGACTTTAAACATGTAATCAGAAAAATAATCATAATAAACGGTAACATGAATTAATTAAAATTTTATGTTACTATCGCTAACACTCTTAGTAATTGTTATGACAGCATTGTTGATAACTTATTTGTACATACACAGTTAAGAATTTAATGCTGTTATTAAGATAATTTTGTATATACTATAAAATCGTCAACTTCACCTTTTTTATCTATTTTTTTTTAAATGGATGATGTTCAATACGAACATAAATATAATAATTTGATTAGTAAATCCTCTACCTACCGACTTGCGAAACAATATCACTGTCCAAAACATTAAGTTTAAACTGAAAGCTTATCTACTGTCCAACCTTTCTAAAACAGCAGACTATTAATGTAAATATTGACATTTGAGAACCGAATGTAAAGTATCACACACAAGCCCAAGAGGTTTAAGGTGGTACTAAAAATCCATATTTTTTTAATGTATTTATGTATGATAATTAAATAAAAAAAAAAAACTATTTTATAATTATAAACCATTTTTTTGTTTTTCTTCTTTTGTTCTATGGAATATGTCTTTTGTTCTTCTCTATCGCTTCATTGAATTTTTTTTATTATACAACTTAGAATGGCAAACAAGTTGAGGGCCCACCTGATGTAAAGTGGTAACCGTCGCCTATAGACATGAGCAGTACCATGTGCATAACAGAGTATACTGTTTCGCCCATGATACCCCCCATGCGTTGCCATTCCTGAGCACTATACAATATACTGAGCAATATACATGCACGTCTATACATGGCATTTTTATTTTAATTTTATTCTTCTGGTACAAGTTCCTTCATAATTTAACTGCAATAAAACCAGCGACCAGCAAGGAGCTGAACAGATGGTAACGAAATAGTATAGCCTGCGCCATCAGTATACAATGGTGAGGCACCTGTGAGAGAAACAAATAAATATCGAAATATTTATTTATTTCACAAATTGATTTTATTAAACCAATGGTCATTTACTCTCTCTGTTTAGCGTAACGGTTGACTGACAGAGAATGCCATCAGGCATTAAGTCCGCCCTGTAGACATATTTTAATGTGTCCAAAGGCATAAATAAATAAATAAATGATAGGTGAAAATGAAAGCAGGTCAATTAGCCCATCGTGATGAGCACACCTGTAATTCAGCACGACGGTTTCCAGCGAGGACCACGTGGAGGTCGACCTGATTAGTAAGATTGCTAGCAATGGGGCTGTTAGACCCCATCGCTAACAATCCCTTCCCCCCCCCCCCTTGGTTGCTCATTACATAATGGTCGTTTGACTATACAGCTTTTTAGTTGTAGCTTAAAAATTAAATCACTACATAGTATAAAACAAAGTCGCTGTCGCTGTCTGTCCGTCCCTATGTATGTTTAAATCTTTAAAACTACGCAACGGATTTTGAAGCGGTTTTTTTAACAGATAAAGTGATTCAAGAGGAAGAAAATTTAGAGGTTTCTAATGTGACGTGATGTAATATGTAACCGCGCGAAGCCGGGGCGGGTCGCTAGTTGTAAATAAAACACAAACAAAAACGTGGGCTAGCAACAAGTATCTGAGACGTAACAAACGTATTAAATAATTTTATTATGTCATTTGTGAATTGTAAATATGTACTATATACCTATACGAGCGAATGTTATCATTTTTTATAAATAATATAATCCTATTTACAATACATAATAATGTAATGATAAGGTATATTCCGTGAACACTTGTTTTGACATGTTGTAATCAAAATTTTTTTTTAATGGATGAAAATGGAATGGTTTTTTTTATACAACTTAGAATGTCAAACAAGCTGACGGCCCACCTGATGGAAAGTGGTAACCGTCGCCTATAGACACGAGCAGTACCATGGACATAACAGAGTATACTGTTTCGCCCATGATACCCCCCATGCGTTGCCATTCCTGAGGACTCAGGTGTTATTCCTCTGTACCCAGTAAATTCACGCCATATCCCACCCTTCAAACTGAAACACAGCCATGCAACCAACTGCTTCACGGTTGAAACACGAATGGAAAGAGGTACCCAAGCAATCGACTTTTGTGCAAAGTTTCCCTCTGGTTTACGTTGACGAGGCACCAGTGATAGATGATAGATGACGATAAAGGCGGGTCAGTCGGGCCATCGTGAAGAGAGCGACAAGAATTAACCACGATGGTATCCAGAGGGAACCACGTGGAGGTCAACCTGATAGGGTGTATTGCTAGTAACGGGGCTATTTGACCCCATTACTAACAAATTGTAACACAGCTATGCAAACACAACTGCTTCACGGTTGAAACACGAATGAGACAGAGGTACCCATGCAATCGACTTTTGTACAAAGTCTCCCTCTGGTATATCCTTTAAGGTAAAAAAAGGACGGGTACAGGTTACTGATTACAGACAATCAAAATTGGCTGTGTCAACGTCGAATAGACGACTATTAAAACGTTTATTATATCTAGATAGGACAAAACCTCAAAATAATGATAGGGACGATAACGGGCCATTATCCATTATACAAACAAACACAATAGGAGCCACAGATAGCTTTCTATATCGAGACTGTTATGACGCCAAAGAAACGGCTGTTCACGTAATCCTGGAATGTGAAGCTGTGGCCCATCAACGTTTTTTTTTTGATGGGTGAAAATGGTATGGTAACCGCGCCTGCGCTAACGGGATACGCTGGCGGAGCACCAGAGAAGGGTGATAGATGAGAATGAAAACAGGCCAGTTAGCCTATCATGATGAATTCATCAGGAATTAACCATGATAGTTTCCAGGGGGAACCGCGAGGAGGTCGACCTGGTTAGGTATATTGCTAGCAATGGGATTCTCAGTCTCCATTACTAACAATCCCTTTCCCCCGCCCATCAACGTTTAGAAATCCTCGGAACTGTGAGATCGCTCCGTGAGGCCTGTGAAGATCCCAGGAAGCCTTTGTGTTTCTGGGCGGAGCTGGACTGGCTGTACTAGCCACGACTCATACGCACAACGGCCCAAATGAGAGGCTTAGCGCGGAAAAGAGATTCCAATTTACATTACATTAGAGTTAAAAAAAAAAGAATTTTCTAAATACAAATAATTTGAGAACGTTATCCTTTTTTGTAGTTGGTTGGAAACATAATAGCACATTGTGTGATATACGCTGGGTGTGTATGTTATTCCACATGTCTTATCATTTCTGAGAACATAAGTGTAATGTTTACATACTTTATAAATTCCATTTTTAAAACAGAAACACTTTTTTTTTTTACAACACAGGGGGCAAACGAGCATACGGCTCACCTGATAGTAAGTGACTACCGCCGCCCATGATCACNCACAACACTGACGGCNTTGCAGATGTGCTGCCGGCCTTTTAAAAAGGAATATACTCTTTTCTTGAAGGTTATGTTGTCGTATCGGTTCGGAAATACTGGGAAATACATAGTGGGGAATGTAATTGTTAGTGATGAAGGATTTGCCAGATTTGCAGGCGGAGTTGCCATTCTATTCATCATCATCTCAGCCGTTATTTGTTCACTGCTGAACATAGCCCTCGCCTATAGACTGCCATAAGGAACGGTACTGAGCCACATGCATCCACTGACTCGCTGCAATGAATTTCAGGTCGTTACTCCATCTAGGAGGGGGTCGTCCTACACTGCGTTTGCCCATACGGGGTCGTCACTCAAGAACCTTACTTCTCCATCGGTTGTCGGGTTTTCAAGTTAAGTGATCAGCCAGTGATGATTCTATTATAATCCCTTAAAAATGCCATAACACGTAGCCATACAAGCGCAGCTGCTTCACAGCAGTACCACTAGTGGGACTAAAGCACCCATACATATGATATACCCATACGTACAACGCGGTTTCAGAGATGTTTTCTCCCACGAACACTCAGGTTATGGGATGAGCTCCCTGCCGAGGTTTTCCCAAGAGACTACAGCATGGGGTTCTTCAAAAGGGGGGTAAAGAGGTTTCTCAGGAGCGGCAACGCGCGCGTGATACCTTTGGTATTGCAGGCGTTCATAGGCTACGGTAACCGCTTACCATCAGGTGGGCCGTATGCTTGTTTGCCACCTCAGTGGTATAAAAAAATATTACACCAACCAAGAACTTCCCCTTGTAAACCTCACAGACCGATCAATATGTTTATTGTTATTGTAATACCGGCCATTGTGATAGCCCGAGCTAATGAGAGACTGATAAGTGGGTGGCACCATACTCACAGATAAGGCAACAATATTGTTATGAAAACAGATTAGACTAACGGGCTATCTATATGGAAATTAAGATTTGTCTGTGTTTATGTCTATAAAAAAATTTTGCTCGCAAAATTCGTACTGGTGAATTTTTGAAGTAGGTAACACTACGTAGATACATAAAACGACATTACGTTTTATGTCCATATATACCAGATTTTAAATTCGAAATCAATACATATCGCGCGCGTAATATCTCTGGTATTGCAGGCTTTCATAGGCTACGGTAACCACTTACCATCAGGTGGGCCGTATGCTTGTTTGCCACCTCATTGGTATAAAAAAAATATATAATAAAATCGTAAACAGTCGCTATCTGTACATGGAAGATATATAAGAATAAGTATTATGGAGGGGGGGGGGGGGGCTTTATAAACGCAATAGAACCCAAAACCAAATTATTTTTAGAATTTTTGTCTGTTTGTCTGTACGTTTAGGCACGCTAATCTCAGTAACGGCTTAACCGATATGAACGCGGTTTTCACAAATGCTTTGTGGTTTGCTCCACTGAACATTTAGTGTTTGTTTTATTTTAATCAGTTCATAAATAAAAAAGTTATACCAATCTAAAAATCATATATAAAATGCTATAAAATAACCGAATTGGCTGAGACTTCTTTTATTATATGTATTGATTTTCGAAAACTTTATCTACTCATGCGAAGCCGGGTCGGATCGCTAGTACAATAATAAATTAACAAAATTACAACAAGATAAATCAACATTTGAATTAAATGTAATTATTCACAATTTTTTGAATAATAACTGACGTGAGTCATACAGTATTGTAACGATTTATGACGGCTTTACACGCGTTTTAAACTCCGGAATAACCGATTAGGTTCAAACTCAACGGAAGCCCTTATTTATGAGCGCGGTTCACGGCTGTTCAAGATTTCACAGCTAAATCCCACCGAGAGTATTAAATTAAAAAAAAAAAACTTAGTTAAAGGAGGTTGCTTATGTCGCTGGAAATATGTAATTCTCACTAATATTAAAAAAGTGAAAATGTGTTTGTTTGTTACCTTATAACGCCTTAACGGCTTAACCAATTACTAAGACAAATGTGCATGATGTTAGTCGATCACGTATAGGCTTTTAACGACCATATAATTTTAGACATAGTAGGTACATTTAAACAAATATGCATAAATTTAATAGAGATTTCAAAGAGTAACTGTTGAGTTTCTTGCGGGCTCTTCTATCGACAGATACGTTCCGAGCCTTGCATTCATAAAAAAACCAATCAAGTGCGAATCGGACTAGCACAACAAGGATTTCGTACAAAATCATCAAGTTAAAATGTTTATTTTTTGTGAAATAATTATAAATTTATTGTTTTAGGGTGTTTTCCTTTACTAGCTCTACATTACATTGCTTCTTGGCAAATTTCATGATTCCAGGTAGCTATAGGTAATGATTCCCTTTGCGAATGTCAAAACAAGCCATATAAATGGAACATAAACGGCCGTATCTTTTGATTACGTCGATTTAGAAGCTTAATATTGTCACTGCCTAAAGAGATTACAGACCCGAGACTTTTCTTTTCATTTAAGAGTTTCCTCTTGTCGGTGTAACTAATTCATGCATCTTGTTCCAGCCAGCTCTATCCCAGGCCATATCCTTGATCTCCCTATACGACATGACACCTAGTGTTTCTTTTATCTGTCCCATGTAATTATTCCTCGGTCTTCCTCTTCCTCTTTTGAGGACCCGAGTATATGATATTAATTTCAACTTGATACGGTGGACGATTTGACGGACAACGAAGTGATCCTATAAGGGTTCCGTTTTTACCTTTGTAAGTACGGAACCGTAAAAATAAAGATTTCATAAATTACTTACCGATAATACCTGCACCAACGATTAATATCTTCTGTCCAACAGACAGAGGTGCAGCGCGGTCGAAGCCATGGGACACGCACGAGTACGGCTCGCAGAGTCCAGCTGGAATGATAAGAATTAGAGCTATTAAATCTTACCCGACTGCTGAAAGGAGGATAATGTTTCAGGGGTATGTTGTATCAACCGTTAACTGTCCACTGCTGGACATAGCCTCCCTCATAAGGGATGTTTTGGGTAGTTGGACAGCAGCGTCCCTCTTAAAACATCACTAGATGATTAATTTTACCAGAGGGAGACTTTGTACAAAAGTCGATTGCTTGGGTACCTCTGTCCCATTCGTGTTTCAACCGTGAAGCAGCTGTGTTTGCATGGCTATTTCAGTTTGCAAAGTGGAATATGGCGTGAATTTACTGGGTACAGAGGAATAACACCTGAGTCCTCAGGAATGGTAACGCATGGGGGGTATCATGACCGAAACAGTATACTCTGTTATGTTCATGGTACTGCTCATGTCTATAGGCGACGGTTACCACATTCCGTTAGGTGGGCCGTCAGCTTGTTTGCCATTCTAAGTTGTATAAAAAAAAATTTGAAATGTCCATATTCTTACCCTGTTCCAAGGTGATACCATCAGGTAACGCGAACACCTGATCCTGTGGCGCTCGCACGTACTGTGCCCAGCCTCCGTCTTGCCATATTCCTATGGTACTGTTTATACCAGCAGTCAGACAATACTGGTAGTTCGCGCCCCGACAGAATCCGCATAGTCCACAGGCTCTGGGGACAATTTATGTCAATTCATACCAGAGGAAAACTTTGTACAAAAGTCGATTGCTTGGATACCTCTATCCCATTCGTGTTTCTACCGTGAAGCAGTTGTGTTTGCATGGCTGTGTTTAGGTTTGAAGGGTGGGATATGGCGTGAATTTACAGGGTACAGAGGAATAACACCTGAGTCCTCAGGAATGGCAACGCATGGGGGGTATCATGACCGAAACAGTATACTCTGTTATGTTCATGGTACTGCTCATGTCTATAGGCGACGGTTACCACTTTCCATCAGGTGGACCGTCAGCTAGTTTGCCATTCTAAGTTGTGTATATATATATATATATATATATATATATATATATATATATATATATATATATATATAATTATATAATCTTTGTAATTAATATTTGTCATATTATATCGATTTTGAATTTTATATTGCAACCTATAATATTTATTCGTGCTACCTACCTATTTATTTTTTCTTTTTATTGCTTAGATAATGTCATTTAATGAAAAATTAAGTACCTGTTAGGGTCAACCACGACCTTCTGCCCTTTCTTGAAGATGGACGCCTTGCCTGCTTCGTAAACTTCACCGCTGAACTCGTGACCAAGTGGCAGCGGTCGCTCCTTTGATGCTGGGAACTCGCCCTAAGAAGGTAAGTCTCTTTTTAGTATATCTTCACGCTAGGTCTTTTGAAAGGAAGACAGAGAGATCAGTTAGAGTGCTAGTTATTATATTAGAGTGCTAGATATATTCAAACTCGCCATGTGGTCCTAGCATGGATCCTTTCCATGGTGGGACATATTTTTTTCCTTTCCAGTGGGTGCCGTAAGAGGTGACTAAGGGAATCTAATGATCGAGGGATGGACAGCAGCGCCCCTCTTCATACATCACTAAAAGCCTAACTGCATTTGCCAACCCGCCTGCCAAGCGTGGCAACTACTAGCAAAACCCACTAAAAGGGGGCTGATATAATAATAACAATTTAGAAATGAGTACAAAATTAGTATAATTGCACTGTATTTTTAGTATCCAGTTTTTTTTATCCTTTTCCATTTTTTATGTCAATCCATAGGGACCATGGAGTTCGAAGGTATCTCACCTGAATGATATGTAGATCTGTCCCGCACACACCAGAGTACGCTACCTTGACGATGACATCTGTGTCGTTGATTAACTTAGGTAATGGGTATTTTTTCTCATATTTGAGAGATAGAGTTTTGCCATCAAACACCACTGCTTCCATTTTGTTTTATTCTAGAAAAAAAAAAATATGTATATTAAATTTGACTGTAAAATTACATTCTTATAATTTATATTAAATGAAAATTTACAACAGGCGAGCTTAACTCTGTAAGAATTCTCTTTTAGCAAACCCTGAGTGGAAAGGAGCATTAATTGCCAACAGGCAGTATGCGTGCAATAAAAAGAGAAAACAATATGGTTAATTCTATTAAGAGATAATAAGTATGCTTATCTAAATACGAAGTATCTTGTATATTTACATTCAAAATAAACACATATCTGGATATAATAATACATACATATAAAATGTTACCTCCGCATATACAAAGTACATAATATATATAATAGTATATAAACAAAATACATACATAAATGTAATAAATTTATGAGGACAGAATAAAAGTAAATTTTTGTTATAACCTGTTATCTATATATAATATATTATAAGTGTATACGAGTATATATATATATATATTCACTTATACTATACTATAGTATAAGTGAATGTAAAAAAGGATATAAATAAATAAATAATAATCGTAATAATTAATTTATTCTCAATACTCACAAACATAGCCTAGCTCAAAAAGAATTTGACTCATGATATAAAACAAAATATAATTCCAAATAAATTTTAAATTATTTTTCCCCACAAAAAAACCCCCGCCTAAATCAGGAAGTGAAACTTTCTATTAAAAAAAATCATCAAAATTAATCAACCGTTGATAATTTGGGAACTTCTATTTCGAAAATAATTTTTTTTTTTATAAAATTATATGGTAAAAATTTATAGTAAAAAAAAACTGTCCTTACTGATCGCACAGTAGCGTCCCGTTTAACTCGAGGTTAACGAATGGATAAAATATACACAATGTGCCTATAATGTAGTGTTAACATCGTAAAAGGGTATCAGTTATAAGATTTATCTTATCAATACACAAAACCGCTTCCAAGCCGCCGTTTCATTTGTGTAAAAATATTTTTTTACTGGCAATAAACGTTGAGGATTTTTGTATTATAAGTACAACTAAATACAGTAATTTGTGACTTCATAAGAAGGAGATTTTTTTTATACAACTTAGAATGGCAAACAAACTGACAGCCCACCTGATGGAAAGTGCTAACCGTCGCCTATAGACATGAGCAGTACCATGGACATAACAGAGCATACTGTTTCGCCCATGATAACGCCTATGTGTTGCCATTCCTGAGAACTCAGGTATTATTCCTCTGTACCCTGTAAATACTGTTCTCACCTATGGGCAGGAGCGCCACAGTACCAACTCCTTCCGTTAGACCGCATTCAAAGTTAACGATCGGCGTCTTACTGTCCGGCTCGACCTACTGAAACTGCGTAGAGATGTTGCATCTCTGTGCATCTTCTACCGAATTTATCATGGGGAGTGCTCTGAGGAATTGTTCGGATTTATACCAGCTGCTGATTTTTACCACCGTACAACTCGACATAAACTAAAGTTTCATCCCAACCATCTGGACTAGTGACAGTCTTCCACCGTGCGTTTTTCAAGGCACTTTCGTCCACGCACAACCACCCTTTGGGATCAACTTCCAGCAGCAATATTTCCGAACCGATACGACATCATAACCTTTAAGAAAGGAGCATATTCCTTTTTAAAAGGCTGGCAGCACACCTGAAATGCCGTTGGTGATCATGGGCGACGGTAGTCACTTACCATCAGGTGAGTCACATGCTCGTTTGCCCCTTGTGTTTTAAACAAAAATTATTTTTTTTATACAACTTAGAATGGCAAACAAGCTGACGGTCCACCTGATGGAAAGTGATAACCGTCGCCTATAATCATGAGCAGTACCATGGACATAACAGACTATACTGTTTCGCCCATGATACCCCCCGTTCCTGAGGACTCAGGTGTTATTCCTCTGTACCCAGTAAATTCACGCCATATCCCACCCTTCAAACCAAAACACAGCCATGCAAACACAACTGCTTCACGGTTGAAACACGAATAAGACAGAGGTACTCAAGCAATCGACTTTTGTACAAAGTCTCCCTCTGGTAGGTGCATTGAGAATGTACCTCTTCCTTAAGTTGCTTTAATAGGTACTTAAAGTCGAAACACAAACAGGACCGCTGTTATGTAATACATATATATGTACATATGTTATCTTGAATAACGCCTTGAACTTAGTCATTAGTAATGTTATTTATTTATCAATTATATAACTATAATTCCAATGGCTTCCATGGCGTAATGGTACCTAAATACTATGGGGAGTGAGGAGGAGAAGGGGGGGAGGGGCATTTAATGCGGCGAGGTTGTGATAACCCCGCCGGTATCGGCATACGTCTGCGTTGTACCAATGAGTGATGAATGGATGATAGGCGAGGATAAAGTCAAATAGGGTTTATTTTTTTTAATGGGTGATGTTTTTTTAATAGATGATAATGGAATGGTTACCCCGCCTGCGCTAACGGTATACGCTGGCGGAGCACCAGTGAGGGATGACAGGTGAGATGAAATGACAGGTAAGTTAGTCCATCGTGATGAAGATACCTGGAATTTAGCACGATGGTTTCCAGGGGGGCTACGTGGAGGTCGACCTGATAAGGTATATTGCTATGGATAGTCTGCATTATTAACAATCTCTTTCCCCTTTGGACCATGGTGCTTTTTTTAATGGTACACTGGCGGGGTACCAGTGAGAGGTGATAGGTGAGGATGAAAAGGCAGGTCAGTTAGCCCATCGAACGTGACGAATTCGACGATAAATTAGCCACGATAGTTTCCAGGGAAAACGCGAGGAGGTCGACCTGATATTGCTAGTAATGGGGTTGCTACACCCCATTAATAATAATCTCATCTCTCCTCAGACTATGGTGTTACACCTTCGTATCCTGTAATTTCACTGTCATATGCTTTAAATAAAAACACAACTATACAAGCACAACTGCTTAGCAAAATTATACGTACATCGTACAAAAACCTTTGTATAGAGTTTCATTATTAAACAATACCTAATGATTAATGAGTTGGATGACTTCTCGTCATTGATTTATTGAAGGCCTATTAAGATATAATTAAATACAAACATTCAAAGTTTTAAGGAAGGTCAGTCCAAAATCAAATAACTAGCAGGTAATATTTAAGTTTGTATAGGGGCATAATTAAGTTTTTTTTTTTTTATTTTAACAATTATTTTATTCTTTGAAATTTAAAAATTTGAAAGTTAATGCGCTTAGTCCAGTATATTTATTGATATTTTAACAACAAGCATAATAGAGTTGTCAGTCTTCAGTCTTATTCGCTGATTTTTAAGTTTTACAGAATAACAAAAGTATTTTTAAATAAAACAAAAAAAGTCAGAAATTCTTTCGTATTACCATCTAACGGTAAATAAGAGATTTATTTGAAGTGTAGGCTTATTAATATTACAATTTGCCACCAGATGTCAGAACTATCAAGGTGCCATCTATTGGTGAACTATGTAACTATAGCGGTAAAACATTGCTATTTGAATGATAACCACGCCTCTATAAAACAAAATACATTCTTTGCAATTCGTTGAGAACGAATGAAACAGAATTGCCATTGTATTACAATATTTTTCCTACTGCACGTAAATCATTACGCTGTCAAGTGTGAAATGAATGTAGTGTAAATATTTACTAAAAAAGAAAATAGTAGTAATAATCGATTATTATGGTTACAATATGGTAGATCTACGAAAAGTAAAAATATATAGCCCATTGTCTTGCCATTGCCATTTGTAATTGGTACTTAATTTTACTTAATAATTATGAAAATAAAATTCCATTAATATAATGAAATTTAGTTCATTTCGTATCTTTATTAATTAATTGATTCTTTATTGCAAATTAAATATTTTTTTTAATTATTTGTAGTTCTTTTTCTTTTATCAAATAGGTGGGTAAATATACCAAAAAGTTCATTAAATTTCAGTTCTTTTTCATTTTTTGTATGTTATTTATTATAACAACATTACAATGTAATGTAATTTTAAAATAGGTTTCGTATTTTCATTTTTGTACAGTTTTGTAGTATATAATGATTTATATTTAAGTATAAACATATAACAACCGTTAAAATTTAAAAATTAAACTACGATTGCAATTTTTGCTACACAATTTGTTTCTGTTATAATGGGTAAATATAGTTAATCTGGCAATACTGACGTGCTGAAGCGTCACTTCGCCATTCATTCATTCGATGATGTTTTAACGACTCAAATCATTCACACTTGCGGCATTCATTCAAACGAAAAGAAAAATTCAACTTGTATTTTGTTGAGAAATGGACCATATTATTACGATGTCTTTAATAAAAATTACTTATTCAGCTTTATTATTAAGTTTTGTTACTATCGGTAAGTGAAAAGTATTATTTTACTTCTTTAATATGTAGTAGTGTACTTGCCCGTTGTCATAAATCAAACATTTTAATCGACGGCATAATTTCACAAATTGTTTTGTTTGCGCTAATATGAAGTGAAGGCACACCCAATTCAATGTTTTGTTAATTATTAATATTTGTATTGTTTATTTTTCTTTACCATAAGTAAGCAAAGGAAATATCTTAAAAATCTTTATTTTGACTTTTAAAAATCGTTCGTTGAGGTTAAAATGTACAATAAGTAAAAATATTGTTTTAAATATTCCATTTCAAAATAATATCGCATTAAACACAATTGCATGTAAATTAAAATCATGAAACATCTGTGCCGCACAATGGATTTTTATTTAAAAAATCCGTAATTAGGGGTATCATATGCAACCCTCTCGAATCGATCTTTTTCCGCGTGAATGGTTAAAAACAGGATGGAGGGTTGATTCTGCGATAGCGTCGCTATAAATTACCCTTTGTTAAACTGTAATTGTTACTTACAACCAATTTGGGCTCATTAGAATAACAAATCAGCTTAAAATTTTATGGCTCATTTATCGTAATACAATGGCACCAAGTTCCTGTCTATGTTCATAGATTTATTAAAAAAATTTATATATTTATTAGCATACCACATGGTACAGATAAGTTATTATAATAAGTACCTAAGCACATAAGATGTGACACTCTGTAGAAGCAAATTTTACTTTTATTACTACTCTTTTCAACAATATCTTTTTTTTGATACAACTTAGAATGGCAAACAAGCTGACGGCCCACCTGATGGAAAGTGGTACTGTCGCCTATAGACATGAGCAGTACCATGGACATAACAGAGTATACTGTTTCGCCAATGATACCCCCCATGCGTTGCCATTCCTGAGGACTCAGGTGTTATTCCTCTGCACCCAGTAAATTCACACCATATCCCACCCTTCAAACCGAAACACAGCCATGCAAACACAACTGCTTCACGGTTGAAACACGAATGGGACAGAGGTACCCAAGCAATCGACTTTTGTACAAAGTCTCCCTCTGGTATCTCTATACATTCATAAGTTCAACCTATATTAAAATTTAATTTAAAATATGGCCCATGTTATTCTTTCATGGTAATCTTTCTTATTTATAATATTAGTATTTATACATATTTCCCATACATAAAATAAATTTTCTCTTTTCCCTAAGGTTGACCGGGGTTGGAATCCAATTACTGTAAATTCTGTCTTTTGGGTTGAATACTATGATAGCTCAATGAAATTACTGTAAATATATTTTTTTCAGGTTATGGTCAGCGTACCCCAACCATATCACATATCACACAGGAACAGATCCAGGATATAGGGGGACAGGTGGATTTGGACTGCTCTGTCCACTATGCCAAAGACTATCCCGTCATTTGGGTGAGTGACCTTTACTATATTTTTCATCTTAAGGTGTCTGTGTCATGAATTTTATTTACTGCTTTAAATCTGTTAACACACACTTATATATATATATATATATATATATACAACTTAGAATGGCAAACAAGCTGACGGCCCACCTGATGGAAAGTGGTAACCATCGCCTATAGACATGAACAGTACCATGGACATAACAGAGTATACTGTTTCGCCCATGATACCCCCCATGCGTTGCCATTCCTGAGGACTCGGATGTTATTTCTCTGTACCAAGTAAATTCACGCCATATCCCACCCTTCAAACTGAAACACAGCCATGCAAACACAACTGCTTCATGGTAGAAACCCGAATGGGACAGAGGTACCCATGCAATCGACTTTTGTACAAAGTCTCCCTCTGGTTTGGTTTGTTTGCAATGTATAAATTCATAAACTACTCAACCGATCTTAAAAATTTATTCAACTACATTATCAGCAAATAATATAGTTTATTTATTATTTAAAAAAAATACAGATACTGTGCTCGAATATAGAGGGAGTTCTGTTAATTAAAATTATTACTAATATTCTAATTTTTTTTCAATCTGGTTTTAAATATGGAATATCATTCTTGAAAAAATATTAGTTTTTTTTTTGTAGTTTCCAGAACATTTGAAAGATTTGGATTTAGCTGTCTTTGATTTTATAGGCTTTAATTGTTGAATAATTCTACTACTTTGTTACTAATTTTCGAAAAGTCTTTTTGTGAAAATCTCAAGTAAAATTTGGTTACTTTTTTATAATGTTCTATTCAAATGGACTTTACCATTGTGTGAAAGTTAGTCTTCGTTTTGATATCTATTGTATTCTATTTGTGATAGGGAAGGACATAAGCTACATTTTATCTATCAATCAGTATCAATTTAATATTATAAATAGGAGAGATTTCTTTTTTTTTTTTTTGTAATGGAACACTGAATTCTATTCTCAAAATTCTTTCACTTATAGAAAGATATATTATCAACTAGTAACATAAGGGGGGGAAAGGGATTGTTAGTAATGGAGACCGAGAATCCCATTGCTAGCAATATACCCAATCAGGTCGACCTCCTCGCGGTTCCTTCTGGAAACTATCATGGTTAATTCCTGATGAATTCATCATGATGGGCTAACTGGCCTGTTTTCATTCTCAGCTATCACCCTTCACTGATGCTCCGCCAGCGTATCCCATTAGCGCAGGCGGGGCTACCATACCATTTTCACCCATCAAAAAAAAAAAACTAGTAACATAAACTATGTATATATATTATTTTCAACCGACTTCGACTAAAAAAGGCGGTTTTTAAATTTAGTTGTTTTTTTTTTTCTTATTGTTATTTATTTGTATTTTCTCGACAATGTTTTTTTTCAACCGACTTAGAAGGAGGTTCGCATCTCATATTTTTTTTTTTACATTTGTTACCTCATATACTCAGTTGTAGACCGATTTGGTAATTTCTTTTTATCTGAAATTATATACGTACAGTTTGCTCCCAGACAAATTTTATCAAACTCGGTTAAGTAGTTTAGTTTTTAAAAGAAAATGTGTGGCTTAGATACAATTGAAGTCGGTTTTTTTATGGGATATAATTATCGAAAGTTCCATCTATGCGTGCGAACCCGGACGGGGTCGCTAGTATACGATATAGTAAAATTTGACCCTCCAAGACCCGAGACACGCCCGTGCAAGCAGTTTAAATCGTATCCTGTCCCCTGAACCATTGATGCATTACTACATAATAGCCATAGGGGCATTGTCACAGCTATGAAATACCGTTTTATTACATTTCTTTGTCCATTCGTTGGGACGCTTAAGTTAGAATAGTTATTGAATGATTCATTCAATGATACTGTAGAATGTAAACATTTAATATCTGTACTCTATTTCAAATTTCGAATGATGTCTCGTAAGAAAACTTTTTTTTTTTTAATATTATTTTAAGGGCTTTTACCTTCTTCAAGTATATCAGTCCTATAGTACCCTGAACTGATTTCTCAAACAAAACTTTGTCTACTTTTCCTAGACGCGGAAAGAGAAGAATTAATGGGCATCAATATTTTAAAAGATATTGTAAAATATCTGCCTCGGTATTTTTTTTTAATTGATGATAATGGAATGGTAACTACGCCTGCGCGGTATGGTAGACGCTGGCGGGGCATCAGTGAGGGATGATAGCTGTTAGCAATCGGAACACCGTGCGCTGGCAGTGCAAGAAACAATGGCGACCCTGTTGTCGGGTCCCTAAATTGGACCCGGATAATGGAGAGATGTTTAAATAACAAAAACAATGACTCGTAGTGGTCCTTCCACGAATTTGCACTATTGTTTGTTGATAATGTTTTTTTTTTTTTGATGGGTGAAAATGGTATGGTATACCCGCCTGCGCTAACGGGATACGCTGGCGGAGCACCAGTGAAGGGTGATAGATGAGAATGAAAACAGGCCAGTTAGCCCATCATGATGAATTCATCAGGAATTAACCATGATAGTTTCCAGGGAGAACCGCGACGAGGTCGACCTGGTTGGGTATTGTTTATAATGGTTGCATCCCGTGTGAAACTAGTGGCCATAGTGGCTCCTTGTTTTGGGGCTACGGCCCACCTGATGGTAAGCGGTTACCGTAGTCTATGAACGCCTGCAATACCAGAGGTATTACGCGCGCGTTGCCGATCCTGAAGAAACCTCTTTACCCCCCTTTTGAAAAACCCCATGCTGTAGTCTCTTGGGAAAACCTCGGCAAGGAGCTCATTCCATAACCTGAGTGTTCGTGGGAGAAAACATCTCTGAAACCGCGTTGTTAAGTTGTCAAAGACTAAATCACATAATTCAATGTATTGATCATGTAGAATTGTTATCTAGTATCTAATATAGCTGAGAATGAAAAGGCAGGTCAGTTAGCATACCGTAGTGAATACATGTTTTTTTTTTATACAACTTAGAATGGCAAACAAGCTGACGGCCCACCTGATGGAAAGTGGTAACCGTCGCCTATAGACATGAACAGTAGCGTGGACACAACAGTGTTTTTTTTTATACTCCTTTTTTCCCTATTTTATTTATTTAAACTTTAATGCACATTAAATTTCTATGTACTCGTACATTTGGCGGACTTAACACCGGATTGTGTTCTCTACCAGACAACTATTGGGCAAACCGAGAAATACGTAGGCGGTGCATTTTTTAATAGAGAAATAACAATTTTCCCAATAAGAAACTTTTTTTTTTATTGAAATTGGTTTAAATGAGTTGCTTATATAGGGCGTTCACTGTATTATAAATAGGAGTGTTTATTTGTTACATCTTCGGTGATTGATAATGCTAAACCGATTGTCATGATGTTCAGAATATACGTCAATAAATGTGATGATAATGGAGTGTCGATAAAAAAAAAATATATATATATATATATATATATATATATATATATACTTACACAAGCACAGTATATTCACAATATTAACAACTCAAAATTATACAATAATTTAGCGATTTATTTACTACGTTATTTAAACTTAATAGAAACACGGTTGTGACTTTAAACTCCGACTTCAAGAAGGTTTTTTTTCTTATTAATTATTATTATGTATAATAATTAATATATTTAAATAAATAAATCTAGCAATTGAGAAAATAATTATTTCAATACTATATTTAAGAAACTTTACAAATACATTTTTTTTTTTGCATATAACAATTATTAGTATATACTGACCATTTTAAAAACATAACATTCAAATATCGAAATCGAAATATTAAAAGATATTAATTACCTATCAATTTATCCACAGTGGGTAAGGCAAAGGAACTAAACCATACAGCTTAATATTTCTTGATTCACATACGATGCTTGTGTTAAATTAGAATGACATTATTTTTTTTTTTTTCAGCAAAAATACGACAGGCAGAAGACCGAGTCCGTGCCGCTATCGACCAACGCTGGCCTTATAATTAAGGACTCGCGGTTTTCACTTAGATACGACGAAGCTACTGCTACATACACTCTGTCGGTGAGTCATGCTATAAGCTACATTAATCAGTGTCAATGACAAATAAATAAAGACTATTCTTGAATAGTAACTATCGTTTGGTCGGCCATAGTTTAACATGGTAGTTTAAAGCATGAAACAAGCAAAAATCACTTTTAAATGGTGCGAAATAGGAATGTGAAAAATAAAGTTTAATTTACATATACTATACAACTTTCTTTTTTAATGCAACTTAGATTGGCATACGTGCTGACGAACCCACCTGATGGAAAGTGGTAACCGTTGCTTATAGACATGAGTACCATGAACATAACAGAGTATACTGTTTCGCCCGTGATGATGCCTATCATTCCTGAGGACTCAGTAGTTATTTCTTTGTACCCTGTAAATTTTGTCCTACATTCACCTAATGGGATATGCTCAGATTCAGAATGGGACAGAGGTGCCCAAGCAAACGACTTTTACAGCCTTTCTCTAGTAAACATTATAATATTGTTATATTATGTTGACGTATGGTACTGGCATAGAATGGCCCACTCCTTCCTGTTCCGAGGGTGTCGTAAGAGTCGAGTTAAAGAACTTAATAGCCGAGGGATGGGCAGCAGCTTGTTTCTTAAAACACCCACCAAAAGCGTAACTGCAGTATCAAATCCGCCTGCCAGACATGCCAATTACTAGCAAAACCCCCCAAGGGGGAGGCTTATGTTCAGCAGTGGATAGTTAACGGCTGAAATGATGATGATGGTGATATAAATAAGATAATTAACAAATCTCTAATCTGTCAATACACTGTAATTACCCGCCATACCTGATCTGTCAAATATGAGTCTTCCCGCCAAAACATTTTTTTTTATTTCACAGATAAAGGACATCCAAGAAATAGACGCCGGTTGGTATCAGTGCCAGGTGCAGATATCAGTTGCCAACAAGATCTCGGCGGAGGTGGAACTCCAAGTGCGGCGTCCTCCGATCATTTCTGATAACTCGACTAGGTCCATCGTGGCTAGTGAGGGGGAGAGTGAGTATTTTTTTTTAATATCACGACGTGGCTGTACCATCCTGGGCGAATATAGGAGAGGACACATTTATTTTTTTAATTTTAATACACCTAGATAGTGTAAAAGGCAGACTTAACACTATATGAAAGGGGAGGGATTGCTAATGCAGTCTGTATGACTACCAGTTCCCCATTGATAGTAATATGCCCTGTCAGCTCGATCTCTATATGGTTCCTCCTGGAAACCATCGACCTGAATTCCAGCTGTAGAATGAGGGGCTAACTGACCGGCCTTTTTATTATCATCATCTCTCACTAGTACCTCGTTAGCAGGGGGAAAAGGATTGTTAGTAATGGAGTCTGACCCATGGCTAGCAATATACCCTATCAGGTCGACCTCCACGTGGTTCCCCCTAGAAACCATCGTGGTTAATTCTAGTGTAGTTAGTCATGATGAACTAACTGACTTGCTTCATCGTCACCTGTTGTCTCTCACTGGTGCCCCGCAAGTGTATACCGATAGCGCAGGCGGGGCTAACATTCCATTATCACCCATTAAAAAAAATAGTACCTCGTTAGCGTATACCGTTAGCACAAGCAGGGTTATCGTTCCATTATCTAAACATATAATAAAATTGTAGAGGTCGAATGTCTGTACATAGAAAAAAAAACGCTAAAAACCAAGTCAAGGGGATGTTAGAAGTGAAATAGAGCACGTTCAGATTTTTTTAATTTTTTTGTGGCTAATCTCCGAAACTGTTGGACCGACTTAAATGATTTTTTTCAAAAAATAATTTAAAAAAATTCATCATTCATGAAAAGTATTTAAAATATTGACCAGAGAAGTAAGTCTCTCCGGGCAACATTTTAGATACTTTTAAGATGTACGCTGCTGTCAATCCCTCGGCAATAAGTTCCTATAGTCGCCTCTTACGACGCCCATGGGAAAGAAAGGGGTGGCTTATTCTATGCCAGGACCACACAGACCACCAGAGGGAGACTTTGTACAAAAGTCGATTGCATGGGTACACGAATAAAACGAAAAAAGTAACACGAATGGGACTCTGTCCCATTCGTGTTTCAACCGTGAAGCAGTTGTGTTTGCATGGTTGTGTTTCGGTTTGAAGAGTGGGATATAGCGTGAATTTACTGGGTACAGAGGAATAACACCTGAGTCCTCAGGAATGGCAACGTATCGTGGGCAAAACAGTATGTGTGTGTACTGTTATGTCCATGGTACTGCTCATGTCTATAGACGACGGTTTTCACTTTCCACCAGGTGGGCCGTCAGCTTGTTTGCCATTCTAAGTTGTATAAAAAAAACACGGCCACTGATTTATTTATTAATTTAATTAAATATTACAATTGCTCTATATTTTGTCTTCAGGTGCCCAGCTGGAGTGCTACTCAGGTGGGTTCCCCGTACCAAAGATCTCGTGGAGACGTGAAAACAATGCGATACTGCCCACCGGTGGATCCATATACAGGTATGGCTTTTGCCCAGCAGTGGGATAGCATAGGCTATAATTAATTGATCGAATAGGTTTACGAAGTTGCTGTATTTTTTTTTTGCGGAACAAAATATAGAGATAGAAAAATAAACTATTTAAAATTAAAATATTATAATTAAATTTAAAAAGAACAAAATATATTTTCAGAGGAAATATCCTGAAAATCGCCCACGTGCACAAGGAAGATCGCGGGACGTACTACTGCGTAGCTGAGAATGGTGTTGGGAAAGGGGCCCGCAGGAATATCAACTTGGAAGTGGAGTTCGCGCCAATAGTCACCGTGCCAAGGCCCAGACTCGGACAGGTAGGTTAATTTATATTGTATTTTTTATGAGTGATAATGAAATGGCAACTCCGCCTACGCTAACAGTACACGCTAGCGGTTCACCAGTGAGGGGTGATAGGTGAGAATGAAAAGGCAGATCAGTTAGGCCAGCATATAATCCCCTCTCTCTTGCATTGAAACTACTCAATGATATTTTGAGCCAGTATCCGCAATTGGATGTATTTGCCTCCAACTAGCTAGAGTTTCGTCGAGTGACCACAGAGTATTTGTGTTCAGATGTTTTTTGTTAAGTTTTTATATTATTTTTTTTTAGTTATTTTTGTGTGATATTCCTTTTTATATGTTATTGTACTCATGCTTTCCTGGATGAGCGTATTGGAAGACTGTAAGGCTCACCCAGTGGATGTAATAAGTAAATAATGTTTTATATCCTAAGAAGAAAAAATATCGCTACGAAAAACATCTTAAAATTCCTATCACTAATAGAAATTAGCATCGAACAAAAGGGCGAACATAAATTATCATGGAAAGGTTGCAGTGTCAAAGGTTTTTTGCTTGAAAAAGCCTGCCTCTTAATAATAACAGCCCATCATGGTGAAAAGGCACTAGGAATTCAGCACAATGGTTTCCAGGGGGGATCGTGGGGGATTGACCTGATATGGTATATTGTTTATTTATTTATTTACACATACACTATACAAAGCTTTCATTTAAATGATATCATTAGTTAAATACAATTGCTCTTAAGAAAAATAATATAAATTATACATATTACATCTGACAAAACAACGTAGTAATGAAGAATACACAATTATATAATAACATTACTATTTCACTTTTAATTTTGAATAAAAGAAAAACATATAAAAAACAAAATGAATGTAGCAGTGTTTGCGCAAAGGACCTAACTCAGCATATGTCGCAGTTTCAAATCTGAAGCTACGACACTGATATTGCTAGCAATGAGATTTTCACATTACCAACAATCTCCTTCTCCTATCCCCCAATGTATACCGTTAGCGCAGGCGTGGCTACCATTCCATTGTCATGTATTAAAAAAACCACAATGGTTTCCATGGAGGACCACATGGAGAGAGGCGAAGCAGTAAGGTACTGCTAGTTTTAAGTAGTTTTATTTTTGAAAAATATGTGATTAATTTGTGTTCTGAAATACCATAAGAAGAGAGAGAATACCATGGACAGGTCCATGCTGTTGTTCATATCCAGATTGTTTGCTAGACTATCATTGTTAAAATAAAATAATTATTTTACTTGATCTCTCATTCCTTGCAGGCTCTCCAGTACGACATGGATTTAGAATGCCACGTGGAGGCCTATCCTCCGCCAGCAATTATATGGCTGAAAGACGAGATCCAACTGTCCAACAATCAACATTATAGGTGAATATACTCATATTTATTTATTTATTTAAACCTTAACGCACAGTAAATTTTTATGTACATTTGGCGGACTTAACCTCGAGCGATGCTCTCTACCAGTCAACCATTGGGTAAACAGAGAAATAAGTAGGCGGTGCATTATTGAATAGAGGAAAAATAAAGCAATACTTGTTATATTCATATAATATAATGTATTTATAAAATATATTAAATAAATAAATATATATGTATAATAAATAAATACATAAAATATTACTATATAAAACAAATAACTTTAATAGAACAGCAAATAGCAATCTATGACTTACACAGAGCAACCAGCAATATTAAGTTTAAAGGAAAAATTATTTTTCTAAGAAATAGGTCTGCAATATGTCTGAACGCAATGATGGTTGGCTCATCCGTCATACTCATTTGGCGTGAATTTACTGGGTACAGAGGAATAACACCTGAGTCCTCAGGAATGGCAACGCATGGGGGGTATCATGGGTGAAAGAGTATACTCTGTTATGTCCATGGTACTGCTCATGTTTATAGGCGAAGGTTACTACTTTCTATCAGGTGGACCGTCAGCTTGTTTGCCATTCTAAGTTGTATAAAAAAAAAAAAAATATTCGTGAACAGGTCTTGCTCATAATAATTTGAAAAGAGTAATTGTTGAGTTTCTCGAGGGTTCTTCTCAGCAGATAACAACATCCAGAACCCAGTAGTACTATTATAAAACAATGGCGATTTAAAAGAGCTTGTAAACAAGTATATTTGAATCTTACATTATATAGATAGAGCATCAAGCCTCAAAAACGGGTCAACTTTTTGTCAGCTAATTGTGAAATTATCTTGTTTTTTATTATTGTTCGATATACTTTTTTTTATATACAACTTAGAATGGCAAATAAGCTAACGGACTACCTGATGGAAAGTGGTAACCGTCGCCTATAAACATAATCAATACCATGGACATAACAGAGTATACTGTTTCGCCCATGCGTTGCCATTCCTGAGGACTCAGATGTTATTCCTCTGTACCCAGTAAATTCATGCTATATCCCACCTTTCAAACTGAAACACAGCCATGCAAACACAACTGCTTTACGATTGAAACACGAATGGAGCAGAGGTATCCAAACAAACCTTGACGTGTCTATATTTAATAAATAAAATAAGTTTTTACGCATTGAAATGATGCAAAAATTATAAAATAAAATTAAGGATTACAAAGGAATCACTCATAACTATTTATCACGCAAAATTGTATAAAAAAGTTGACCTACTTTTCTCGAAGCATCTGTATGGAGATACTCTATATAATCGCTAAGATTTTTAATAAAGATTATTTCTATTCATATTCTATCTCTATTTTTATTTTCTATTCTTATATTGTTTGCAGGATATCCCATTTCGCGACCGCTGATGAGTTTACAGACACCACGATTCGCGTGATCACCATAGAGAAACGACAATACGGAATGTTCACGTGTAAGGCGCAGAACAAACTCGGCTCCGACGAAGGCAAAGTGGAATTGTTTGGTGAGTTTGTACTATAGTAAGCACGCCATCTAGTACACAAGTGAAGCACTCTCCGTACAACGACTGTGGAACGACGGAAAATGTGAATGAATGAATGAAACAAAATTTATTTCAATAATCCACAACTCTTAGATTGCAAGTAATAACAACAGTGAATTTACAGGGTACAAAGGAATAACACCTGAGTTCTCAGGAATGGAAACGCATGGGGGTATCATGGGCGAAACAGTATACTCTGTTATGTCCACGGTACTGCTCATGTCTATAGGCGACGGTTACCACTTTCCATCAGGTGGGCCGTCAGCTTGTTTGCCATTCTAAGTTGCATAAAAAAAACAGAATTTTGGTTCTTAAAGAAAAACGGTTAGTTAATCATATTAAAAAACAGTTATCAAAGAGGTCCGGAATTGACTAAACTGTCGAATAAAAAAATGAAAAAAATATGAAACTAACTACCAATAACGATTTCCTAAGAAATATAACATAGGGATTTTCAAAAAGAGAATTTATACCATTTTAAAAGGCCAACACCACATTGGTGACTCCCATAGTGGCCCACGCCCCACAAGGGGGCAATTTGGTAGCTGGAGGGGGAGGGGGCAATTAAAAAGTGGACTCGAAGCTATTTTAACCCGGGCCATTTAAATGCAATGCTGCGAGTAGATATCGGTGCCAAATTTAACAAAAAAAAAGTAAATTAAAAAATGTACTGTAAAATTTCGTTTAACATTACCAAAATATCGACTGGACGATTAGAGTCGTCAAGTAAACTTTGTCGGGAAAAATTATGTATGGAATCATAAACATTTTACAAATGTTCAAGTGGGCCATGGCACAAAAAAAGTTGGGAAACACTGGTCTAGTGTGTCTTGTTTGCCGCCATTTCAAATAAAAAAATAAAAAAAAAACAGAACTATGGTTGCTTCACTTATGGACTTAGTGGCGTGTTGATTTTAAGATTTTATTTTTAATTAAAATTTTTCAATGTTTTATAGTTTACATTATGATAAATTAGTAAATTTTGCGCATCTCTTTATGGAACTCGTGTAGTTAATTTTTTAAATTGCTAAAGGCAGATTGATTTTCGATGCTTTTTTTTTTATTGTCGTCACTTAAATGTTATTCTTCTATTCAGATTTAGAAGCTGTTGAATGTTATTATTGAAAATTTGTCCTTCTGTTCCGTTGTTGTGTTACGTTTATTTTTTTACTTATTACAACAGTACTAGAATGGTTACCTTTTCAACCGCTAGATGGCGTTGCATATTGAAATTTATCAAGTGTAACACGTAAGACACAGAAGTTATTATGGAAGCTCAAGACTGTTTTAAAAGAAATAAAAAGTATAAAATAGTTTAGTTAAAATTGAGGGGTTCTAAAAAAATCATTATAAAACCAATAAAAGTTTTATATCATAGGAAACTGCCATCACTACATTCCTTAAAGCGCCTGCAGAACTTCCTCCCTTTAGGAACTAGACTTTTACTGGCTCAATCTCTTCTTCTTCCTCTTCTAGACTATGCTGATGTTGCCTACCTAGATTTTCTTGATAAACTTGAGCGACTGCAAAATCAATGTATTAGATACATCTATAACCTTCGAAAGTATGACCACATATCTAGTTATCGCAGTCAACTCAAATGGCTTCCTATCAGGCTACGGAGAAATGTCCACATTCTTACTCTTCTTTTCAATATCCTTTTTAATCCAACATGTCCACATTACCTTCAGGAAAGATTCAAATTTCGCGAAATTGATGTTCGCCTGAGATGCAGTAATGACTTCATTATAGATTTGCCTTGTTTTAATACTCAAAGCTATGCCATGTCATTTACTGTACATGCTGCACGTCTCTGGAATTCACTTCCTAATAACTTAAAGATGGCACAGTCGCTGAAATCTTTTAAAGCAGGTATCATAAAATTTTATTTTGAAAATCCCTCTTCATTGAGCCAATTGTGAATATATGTATTTATTATGTATACATGTATGTGTATGTAGGAGTGTATATATGTATGTGTATGTATGTATATATATGTATATATATATATATGTATATGTATATGTATATGTATGTGTGTATATGTGTATATATGTATGTGTATGTGTATAAGTTTTTATTTATTAATGTTATATTATTATTAATTTACTTTTATTATTTACATATGTAGGTATATAGAGCTGTTTTTATTGTGTTATATATTCAATTTTTTTTTTACTGGGTATTATTTAGTTTATCTTTAATTGTACGGTTATTACCCTTATACATTCTACAGTTTTCTTTCAGCTTCTCAAAGGTTGACTGTAAGAGATCCCTTTATGGGATAAGTCCGCCATTGTATACTAGATCATTTACTAGTATTTAATCTGACTTATGTACAATAAAGATTTTTACAATACAATTACAATAATAAATTGTTTTTTTTTTAATGATGTCTAAATGAAGGATGTTCTCAATTTGTTTGTATTTTTTTTTTTCATGTTCGTTACCTCATAACTCCGTCAATTATAAACGGATTTCATTGGATTTTTTTCCTGAAGTAATATAGATCCATATAGAAATTTTATCAAAATCGATTTAGTAAATTGATTTATTGATCAAAAGTAACTGATTTTGTCACAGTTGACGTCAGCTTTGTGGAATACAGTTTTTTTAATTATTAAATTATGCTTTCTAGGACCTCTGAATATTATTATTAGATAGTTTTTTACATGTATGACGTCAGACTTTTGTTGTATTGTAACATAAAATGTTTCGAAATTAATATTGATTCAATAGATCAGTGTATCAAAAACTACGTAATACTAGCGGCCCGGTACGTGTTTCGCTACGTATAAAGTGAAATATTTAAAAAAAATTAACATCAAATTCATTTATTCAAACAAAAAAAAAACTGTCAACACTAAAAAAAGAATCAATTTGACCGCACAATCCCTATCTTAAAAAAAAAGTTTGAATTTGACACAAAAATCCCCATTAACAAAATGATCCGCCATTCATTGAATTCATTTGTTACAAAAAATGTGATAAATGAAGAATCGCTCGACCGATTTTGTGTAAACTTCACATAAACCATCTACTAAATAGTCCGAACAAAGCCTAAACATTTGGTTTGGATAGGTGAGCCTGTTCTTGAGTTATAAAATTACAACGAAAAGTGGCATTAATTTATAAAATTTATAAATTTGGAAGATATACAATATAAATTGTATATCTTCCACAGAATACGTAAAGCATGGCCAAATATAATTTTGACTGTTTAATTTTTTTTTTTTTTTTTTATCAAAAACTAGATATATTTTTATTTTACAAAATGCTACAATAGCATGCTTGTACTGCATGGTAAACATTCATGCATGTATACGATGTTTGTTTACGTAGAAACGATTATACCGGTGTGCCCGCCCGCTTGCGGCCAGACTCGCTACGGTCGCGGTGCCTCGCTAGCGCCCTCTAGCGTCGCGGTGGCAGTCTCGCTCGCTCCATACGCTGTATCCGCTATCAGCAGGTATGTATTGTTTTTATTATGTGTGAAACTGTCGCCCTCTTGTGTTAAGTGTTATAAGGTTTCTTTGTACATGTTAGATTCATAGTTGAATAAAGAATGCCCCCAGAAAAAGTAAGTTGCTATTCGTAAATATTATTAGACAGTTTTTTTTTTAATTTAGCTTGTATTAGTTGTACCAGTATTATAAATGTAAAACTTGCGAAATGTTTGAATGTTTGTTATTCGATTACTCTTAAATGGGGTTTAATAAGTTTACTGCCTACATATATAGACCATTTTCTTTTTCAACCAAATATAAAGTGGACAATGCCGCAGGACACAGCTACTTTATAAATGTACAATTTTGTTCTCATATTATTTAAATGCATAATTTTATGAGTAAAGTGTATGTTTGTATGGTTTTATAGATACTATAGTCAAGCAATGTCTAATTTTTAATTTAAGCAATGTCATTTCTTGTTGGATTCGTCACGATGGGCTAACTGACCTGCTTCATCCTCGCCTATCATCCTTCACTGGTGCCCCGCCGATGTATACCGATAGCGTGGGTGAAGATACCATTCCATTATCACCCATTAAAAAAAAATGAAGTACCGCGTTCTTGATTCACTGTTCATCCCATAATGTTCTTTTTTAAAGAGAAGATAATGGAATGATAACTTTGCCTGCGCTATCGGTATAACTGGTGGGGCACCAGTGAGGTATGATAAGTGAATATGACAAGGCAGGTCAGTTAGCCCATCGTGATGAACACATCTGGAATTTAGAGAAACCAGAGGGAAACTTTGTATAAAAGTCGATTGCTTGGGTACCTCTGTCCCATTCGTGTTTCAATCGTGAAGCAGCTGTGTTTGCATGGCTGTGTTTCGGTTTGAAGGGTGGGATATGGCGTGAATTTACTGGGTACAGAGGAATAACACCTGAGTCCTCAGGAATGGAAACGCATGGGGGGTATCATGGGCGAAACAGTATACTCTGTTATGTCCATGGTACTGCTCATGTCTGGTTACGGTTACCACTTTACATCAGGTGGACCGTCAGCTTGTTTGCCATTATAAGTTGTATAAAAAAAATTCAGTATGATGGTTTCCAGGGAGAGATATTGTTTAGGTCAACCTGACAGGGTATATTGCTAGCAATGGGACTAATAGTTGCCATTACTAACAATCCCTTCCCCTCCTATCCTACAATGTTCCTATCATTAAATCCACCGTTTTTACCATATTTTGATTTGATCAATAAAGTTATTTAAATAAATAAATTTCTTTACAGAATCGCCAATACCAGACATTAACTACCCAGGCCTCCGTCCAGACCCACTCATCTACGGTGAGCCAAACAGCGCTAAACAAACATTCATATTTAACACATATCTATTATATATAATTATTATTATTATTACACTTTAAATATTGAAACATAAGTGAAAACAGTATTTGTTCCATTAATTTTGTTAAGAACTTGTCTATATATATATATATATATATATATATATATATATATATATATATATATATATATATATATATATATATATATATATATATATATATATATATATATATATATATATTGTCCAATTTGATAGAAAAAATATATGTACAATCCACAAAAAAAAAAAAGGAGGGGCCTATTGCACTAGCAAACATATGGGATCTTATATATAAACATAAGGTAATTTTACATTTAACAAGCTTTAATGTCAGAGTCGAAAATTGATTCCAAAAATATACAACGGATATTTTCAAGTCAGTGCTGTTCTGATTAGAAATAGGTTTGCACAGTGGCAGCAGTGAGTCGGCACTAATCTGGGGGTCACCAACTAGTCTGTCTCAAGTTTCAATAGTCAGTAACTAATCCAGTGTTAATCGGCTCTGACATATTATAAATATACCTGGAGACGAAAGTGGTCTCACTAGATTGTTTTTAAATTGTACAAAATGTTTTATTGATATTGTAAACGTGTCACTAGCTAAGTCGATTGTTTAATTAATTTAAAAACCATCTCATATATATGATAGCGTAATAAGCCCCTAAAGATTTTTCAAAAATACATAAATGTATATTAAATATTATAAAGAGGAGAGATTTGTTTGTTTGTAATAGATAAATTAAACGCTCGACCTATTTTAAACTTCTCTTTGACCTATACCTACAGTATCAGTCTGTAACATGGGTTGTATGTTATTTTCGAAAATTCTATCTATCCGTGCGAACCCGGGCCGGATATCTAGTTTTGGTGGATTGACAAACTCTCAAATGGATATATCAACATTATTTTCTTATTTTTTTTTAAACAATGTATTTGTTTTTTTTTTTTTTTTATCAATCAAAAAGACACCAAACTATTATTATTATACATATATTGTTATTATATTCCAATAATTCTAAAATAGTTACTTAAATAGAACTAAATATCGAGGTAAAATATTAACAGAGAGAAATGTCGATTTAAATTTTAAATTCCATATTTTTTTACACACGAGTCCACGATCTTAACAAAGTAAATAGCATTAAAAAAATAAATAGATTGGTGAGTAACGTAAATTTTGTATTTCTTACTGTATGTGATAGAATAATTCGTGCTGTCCTTTTCCAAAGAGCGTATGAAGAAAAGGACAGATCTGTCAAATTAGATAGTCCTTAAATCGTAAGCCTAAGTTTTATACAAACTAAATAAATAATGGTAATTCAAATTTTTGTACTAGTGAAAAAGTTAAGTCAATAACTATGTTTCATTCGTGTTTACACACTAGTAATGAAATCATATGATAAAGTTTTATACGTGTACCTAAATGTAAGGTTTACATTGATTTAGTTACTAAATTCAATGTTAAGAGAGCAGTCGTCGAATAAACGCTAAAAGTAGGACACTGTATATTATTTATACATTTACACAATTTAAGTCCAGTTCGATTGCGTTAAAATTTTGTTAACAACTCGCTGCTGATCTGCCATTGTTTTTACTGTATTCTTGTAAACAGATCCAGTGGGGTTACTCTTGAAATAAGTTCTAAAATAATTATAAAATAGAATTAAGACGTTTTGCACTCTTAAATTGCAATATTAGCAACATAATTGTTCCATATTGTTCTGATAGACGCATATTTGTGCAACTTGCCAATGCAAACTATTGTAAACCGATCCCAATTATAACCTAATTTTTAACTGTTGTTTCACGAGTGTAGTACAAAATTGTCATTGACAAAAAATTGGATTAATATCACTATTACATTCGAGAGTAGACCTACTGATCATAGCAGCACTGTCGCGATTCAATTTACACGATGCCAGTAGCGTGTCAGCACTGACTTGTCTCTTGTTTGGAATAAGTAACTAACGCAGTGTAAACATGCACTAAATTAAAATATATAGATAGATGTAAGTTAATCATATTATTATATTGACTGACATTTTATCACTGATTCCGTGAAGTATTTTATTTCTACTTAATATTGTTTTTACTGTATTTAAAATAAAGCCAGTAACCGGGTTATTGAAATTGTCAATTTAAAAATGCTTTATAGGTGAAGTGCCAACCGTATCCATTTGTTTCGTATTATGTTTATTGACAAGTTATAATAAATTGAGAAGCTTCGGCACTTAGTGTAGTATTATAATATTCACGTACTGGCCAGTACGTAAACATAATTTACTACACTTAGCTCTCTGTCTATACCGTAAGGAATAAACCCCTGTGTCAAAGGAAAACCCCTTTAAATAGTTCTTTTAAATAGGTTGTGAGACCTGGTTTTGAAATGGATGATTTACTAAAACTTGCCAATTTCGAATCGAGTCTATATTTTATTTAAAGTGCGGTAAACATAACGTAAATTGGGGTAATGTATTTTTTGTCGTTTACAAACGATTATGTAATGAAGTAGGCGTTTTGATATTTTTATAAAACGATCGACATGTACATTCTTTTTGAAAATTGTTTTCATTTTTTAACGATGTCTATGTATGTGTACAATGGGGATTTTATGAATTCATGCCTCCCCCCTCCCCCACCCCATCCCTGCCCGCACCGACGTCTTCACGGGCTCTGCGAGCTGCGACCCGCAGTGCGAGGCGAGACGCTATGACGTAATATGTCGTACACCCCCTGAAGAAGACTTCCAGATGAAGTCGAAAGAATTGTCGGAAACGACAAACTAAGCACGTTCATAAAATTCCCGTTGTGCATATATATAGACATACGGATTTGAGTTTTTTTTTTATATTTTTGTTTTTTCATAAAATGACCGAATACAAAATGAAATAAATCAGTACTTTAGAAACTTGACTGAAAAATGTACTATTGTAAAATATAATAAAATCCACCGTAGTCTATTCCGAATATGTGTAGTCTGTAAGCGATAATGTTTTTACCAAGCAATAGATTCGTTCATAAGATGTGTGTACTTTAATATTTTTATATATGGATCTTAAGTTGAAATCCGACTAGATAATATTTTAAATATTTTGTTTTTTTTTTTTTTATAACAAATGATTATGTGTTTACTTAAAAGAACAGGGAGTTATGAACAGTTGTAAAGGATGATAAAAGAATGGTAACCCCGCCTGAGCTATTGGGATACGCTGGCGGGGCACCAGTGAGTGTGACGTCGTGACTAATTCAACAATGGTTAACCACGATGGTTTCCAGGGGAAACCGTGTCGATATCAATCTTATAGGGTACATTGCTAGCAATGGGGCGATTAGACCCCATTACCAACAATCCTTTTTCCCTCCAAAAGTGTGCTATAGACGTGTAGGCCGCCACGTATTATATAATTCGAAAATATGGACGATTAATTTGTTTTATTTAGATTTTTTAGCTCTTTTATTAGAAAGTTTTTTTTTATACAACTTAGAATGGCAAACAAGCTGACGGTCCATCTGATGGAAAGTGGTAACCGTCGTCTATAGACATGAGTAGTACAATGGACATAACAGTGTATACTGTTTCGTCCATGATACCCCCCATGCGTTGCCATTTCTGAGGACTCAGGTGTTATTCCTCTGTACCCAGTAAATTCACGCCATATCCCACCCTTTAAACCGAAACACAGCCATGCAAATACAGCTGCTTCACGGTTGAAACAAGAATGGGGCAGAGGTACCCAAGCAATCGACTTTTGTACAAAGTCTCCCTCTGGTCAGTATCAAAATTAGATCATTGTTATTTTCTATAAGTCATTTTACGTTGTATACATAAAAAAAAAAACTTTATAAGCAGTATTTTGTTTACAGTATTTCAGTTTTGATCCCTCTAAAGACATACTAGGAATAAAGAGGTACCATCATGTTCTTACAGTGTTACCACATCACATGACTTTAATATGATAGTATTATTTAGTCGGATTCGAAGGAAGCAGCAAAGTTAAAGGGCTTTATACTAAGCTTTATATCACAAATCTCAATAGGCTAGTAGTGTTTTTTATACTTTGTACACATTTATAAATTTACAATATTAATAATAATGCATTTGTATCCAATTTATTTTGTACACGTTTACTTTATTTTTTATTTTTAATTGTATTATTTCGAATCTCCATTCCAGATTGAACTCGCCCAGAGATCAAAGTAAAAATAGACAAAATAATAAAAATAAATAGTTGATATAAATAATTAGTGATGGGTAATATATATTGTAATATCTATATATTTTAGTCACAATATCTATCTATATACTGGTCCAATAATATATATATATATATATATATATATATATATATATATATATATATATATATATAATTCTTTATTGCACTTAGATACATACATCTTTATTGTAGTTAGAGAGAAAATAATTTAATTTGGGTAATCCAGTGCAGGAAAGGTACCGGTGAAAATAATGTAAAACCACAAACATAAATTGTGAATAAATAAATAAATAAATAAGTAAATAGATAAATATATATACATATATAAGTGCATAGAATTATCATGTACTATTGGTTAAAAGGTGAGATTTCAGTCTTCTATTGAAGGAAGTAATGGAAGGACTATCCCGTATGTCAGCAGGTAAATGTCTGTTATCCATAAATATTTGATAACAGACTTTTGACATATTCCAAAATAGATATTCAACCGATATGGACGATATCGAAATGGGTAATGATCTTTCCCGCCATCAATGTCCAGGGAAACCCAATATATAGATATCAGATCGATATCCATATTACCCATGCCTATAAATAATATTACAGTAGATAAATTAATTTAGCATTAAAAAAGAAACAATAGGGAGAGTATCTTATTAAAATTAGTGATTAAACTGTAAAATAGATTTTTGGTAATAATGTTAACGAGATCTAGATCCTGGGCGCGTCATTCTAATTGACTGTATGATTCCATCCATTTTGTATTGAATTGTAGTGTTTAGTTTTATCGTTTAAGAGTGTGATTTTAGTTATGTAATTCTGCTAATTTTGTCTATGATTCACGAATGAATTTTACGCGAAATCATTGCTGTAATAACGTGAAATAAATGCAACGTAAATGCCAACTATAAAGTGCATGTTTGGGATTAAAAAAAAAATGTCGACATTAATTTAAAAACTTGTTCAAATTTAGATATCGCCGCATGTATCAGGTATTTCAGGCTTGGTTGGTGTAGATACGTTACTTCTCTGCCGTATGCATAAGTTAAAGCCAGACAGCGACATTCTCTTATTTTGTGTGCGATAACGAAAACGTGTCTACCGTTGGTTTAATTTGTCACAATATTTATTCATATGATAAAAATGCGATTAATTAAGATATTTATATGAACTTATAAAATTCCCTCCATCAATTATTCTCAAATAGGGACCAGTTTGAGTCGACCGTTGGGAAAAGGAGTAACAATTGTGTTAAAGCCATGTTTTACCTACGCTTCACGTTCCGTACTGTATAATTACGCGTTGATTTTGTTGATTCTCTCACGCTGTGTAATGTTTTATTTTTGTATAACTTTATTTGTGTACTGTATATCTTCGTAATGTTTGTAGATTTTTTGTTCAAATAAAAATTAATAAAAAGAAATTGTTTTTTTTATTTATATAAATATAATTATTAGCATGCATATGGCAAAAATGATACCTACATGAGCTATGTCTATATCGCAGTGATAGGTACATTTGTATAATGTAAATAAATGCCTTGGGTTTTTTTTTTTTTATGGGTGAAAATGGTATGGTAACCTTACCTGCACTAATGGGATACGCTGGCGGAGCACCAGTAAAGGGTGATAGATGAGAATGAAAACAAGCCAGTTAGCTCATCATGATGAATCCATCAGGAATTAACCATGATAGTTTCCAGGGAGAACCGCGAGGAGGTCGACCTGTTTGGGTATTTTGCTAGCAATGGGATTCTCAGTCTCCATTACTAACAATCCCTTTCCCCCCGGAAGGGGTGGCCTGTTCTTTACTAGGATCATACGAGACAAAAAGCTAATATAAAATTAATAAAATTGTAAGTGAAAAAAGTTTTTTTATTGTGTTATTATACTGGTTACAATAAATAAGTTAAAACACTTAGATTATAAGGGTATAATTTATACATTCACTTTACAGCAGTGACCATATTTTAATATTCATAGAAAATTCTTAGCAATTACATATTAAATTTATAGTATTATTAAAAAAAGTAGTTACGATCTACAAACATTTCGGTTATCTCACTTGTTAATCTAGAATTTAGTTCGATATACATGAAATATTTCATTAACAGGTTTACGTGATATTTGACATATATAAAGGGCAAATATCATTGTCTATATTTATGACTGTGTCCCAAAAAAAGACTTTAATTGAGGCTAAACCAGTTGTTTTGATTTAAAAACTAAATTACTGAACCGATTTTGATAAAATTACAATGGGACCAATCTGTAAATATATCTTTTCAGATAATGAAAGAATTTTACAAATCCACACCAGAGGAAGACTTTGTACAAAAGTCGATTGCTTGGGTACCTCTGCCTCATTCGTGTTTCAACCATAAAGCAGTTGTGTGTTTCTGTTCGGTTTGAAGGGTGGGATGTGGCGTGAATTTACTGGGTACGGAGGAATAACACCTGAGTCCTCAGGAATGGCAACGCATGGGGGTATCATGGGCGAAACAGTATACTCTGTTATGTCCATGGTACTGCTCATGTCTATAGGCGACGGTTACCACTTTCCATCAGGTGGGCCGCCAGCTTGTTTGCCATTCTAAGTTGTATAAAAAAAAAACCTCATTATCATCCTATGAGCCGAGAGCCCACATTATATATTTACACAGAGTCAATTTTGCTGCATTTATTATTTCTGAAATACCAAGGAACTCTGTCTAGTAGCTAACGGTGTTTTTAGTTTGTCAAAAATATGTAATGGCAAGAGGGGATGGTAAACATATATTTGAGTGGAAATGTAAAATGTGACTTCCTAGTACTATGCTAAGTGATCACCTTCTTGTAACTTAAAATTATTAATCTTGAGTTTCATTAACTTTCCAATATTAAGTAAGTTATATTTAAGTGGTCGCTCTGTCAAGTTGTGCGAGCTGATGAGCTAGTCTCTCCTCCCTGGCTCTTCTTGCTTGTCCCAATGCTCTTTTCTCGGCGAATTTTGTTACAAATGTTTCAACTGGAATCTTACCTAAAAGTCATAAATTAAGAATTAGCAAATCATACAAGGTGTTTGTTTACTCTTTTTCATTTAGTTTAGATAAAATGAGTAGATTTTCATCAAATATAGTTTAGATTCTGACCAGATCCTAAGTAAAAATGGGACATTTAAATCGATCTATCCATTTAAAAGGTCAAATAGTCCTAGACAATTACCAAAAAACCTGCTGGAATCAAAAATACATGCATTTGTAATTAGTTCTTACACAAAAATATTTTTAAGCCAGGTAAGTACATACATTATATGTCTGAAATTGGGCATTTATTTCCTTAACTCTTTATAAAAATGCGAAATTTTCATAAACAAATTACGAGTAGTGATGTGTTTTGTCTTTTTCCTATGTGTTAAATTCCCAATTTGATAAATGATGAAAAAATGCTAATGGTTAAAATAGGTTTGTAGAACAAAGTTAAAAGAAAGTGAGTTTGTTTGTCACCTTATACTGTGAAATTTGGTATACACATACTATTTGGAATGGAGAAGCAGATAGGTTACTCTTTATCTCAGTCACGTGGACGAAGTCGTGGGTAAAAGCTAGTATTATTATAGTACTTTTCTAAAATATTTAGTTGACATAATAAACAGACAGATATTAATTGTAAAAATGTAGATTAGAAAAATGTACCTAAGAGAAATTGATCAGCTATATTCTCAGCATCTTCATCTGCTTGCAAAGCAGCAACCTTCAGGCAATCCCTGATGCGATGGGGATCGTACATATCAGCTAGCTTTTGGTGTTTGCGATGTAACTCCTCATAGTTCATCTTCATCTGTACAATTGTTGATATACGGTCAATCACTTCGGTTTTCAAGTCGTCGAGACACTGCTGTTTTGAAATATTGTCTTGTGCTATATTTTCGATACTATTCATTATTTCTTCAGTCTCTAATTCCAATTGTACTAGTTGTGGATTGTTTTCTAATATTTTGTCCTAAAAAATACAATACAAAATTAAATATGAAGGGTAACAAGGGTTGGTTTAAAATCCTAAACTATAAGGATCAGATAAACCATGTGCTATTTGAGGGAGTAGTTGGCTCAATCAAGAGATAGATAGATAGGTAATTTATTTACATTACTTACAACACATAAATTACAATAAAAACATACACATAATACACAGTAAAAGAGATAAAAGAATGAAAAACAAAAAAAGCAACAAAAAAAAAAAGCAAAATATATAAAACAACAATTTCCTTTGAGAGAAGAGGTGTATTTCCAATCAATAAATATAAAATAAAATCTATTAAATTATTTATTGACACTTGGGTTTTTTTAATGGATGAATCAGTACCACCAGTGTATATCGATAGCTGCAGGTGGGATTACCATTTCATTATCATCCATAAAAAAATAATGTATATTGCTAGCAATGGGATTGCTAATCCCCACAGTCTTTAGTGGATGATAATGGAATAGCAACCCCATCTGTGTTATTGGATTACACTGACAAACTTGACTTATTTCCAAAAAACAGCAATATTCATAATATTAATACTAGATTTAAAGACAAACTTGCTGTCCCTAAGTATCGTTTAGAAAAAGTTAATAGGTCTTTTATGGGAATAGGTATAAAAATTTACAATAAGATACCAAAGGATATGTTGGAATTACCCTTAAATAAATTCAAAACATCTGTTAAATCATATTTACTGAGCAAAGCCTATTACTCACTAAACGATTACTTGAATGACGAGTGTGCATGGCAATAGTTGTTCATGCACTGAATTTTCATTTAATGTTAGACATAGACACCTATATAAATATACATTGTAAATAAACTGGCTTTAAAAAAAAAAAAGTAATTCAATTGAGTTTCTTGCCAGTTCTTCTCAATTGGATCTATACGAGGTCTGTCCGGAAAGTTCGTATAAAAGTGTTCTGGAATGCGAGAAAGAGGAGTGGGGAGGCCAGGTAAGCGCAGGACCCCTTCCTTATGTCCCTAACAATGCTTCAGTTCTGGTCTGACCGCCGTGCGGTGCGAACTGGCTTGTCACGCCATCTGTGAAGTTACCTCTTAACGAAACCCCGTCGGCATGGAGCCCGCTTCCGTTGAAGAGCAGCGCGTCGTAATCAAGTTTCTCTCGAAACTCGGCAAGAATGGCCGTGAAATTTTTGCCGATCTCAGAACAGTTTATGGGGATGATGCTGTGAAGGAACCAACCGTCCACAAGTGGCTAAAAAGATTCAGAGAGGGCCGAGAAAGCGTTCAAGATGACCCACGTTCAGGACGTCCTTCCACTTCACATTCCGACGAAAACGTGGAAAGAATTCGAACTTGTGTTAATGGGGACCGTCGTTTAACGGTCAGACAGGTGGCTGAAGAGCTTAATTTGGGCAAAACCGTGGTCCACGAAATTCTAAGAAACGAACTTCAAATGAAAAAAATTTGCGCCAAGATCGTTCCGTGAGTTTTTGAGTAAAAATTCCATTACGGTGACCGAACACCCCCTATTCGCCGGATTTGGCCCCGTGTGACTTCTTCTTGTTCCCAAAAACCAAATTGGTACTTCGGGGGCGGCATTTGGGGGACATAAATGAGATAAAAAAAGCTACGACGGGGCAGCTGAGAAACCTACAACCAGAGGACTTTCAAGGAGCCTTCTCACAGTGGAAACGGCGTTGGCACAAGTGCATTATGTCACAGGGGGAGTACTTTGAAGGGGATAAAATTGATTTACCTGAATAATTGTAAAATAAAATTTTTAAAAAACTTTTATACGTACTTTCCGGACAAACCTCGTATACCGAACTGGACGGTAGGGAAAAAAAATAAAATTATAATGTAAAAATTTGACGTTCATAAGCGGCTAAAATGTCCTACATGAATAAATTATTTTTGAATTTTGAATTTTTTTTTTAATTTTTCAAACTACCTGTGAGGGATGAAAAATATATACATAAGTAGTTGACTCATCAAATAATTACTAATATTATAAATATGAGTGATTTAGTTTGTTTGTTATCATTACCTTATTAAATCAATCACTATTCAATGTGGTATATACATACTATACAAGATGGAGAAGAAGATATCTTTTATCCCAGTAATACAGATGAAGTCGCGGTGAAAAGCTAGTCTATACATATTTTTATTACAATTCCAAAGACAAGTATTAAAGTATTTATAATAATAATAATAATAAAGTTTATTCTCTTCACAATACCAGTTGTACATCTATTATATTCTAATACATTTATTTTTGGAGGTTACATAATTTAATGTATTGTGAAGAACTGGTGTCTGAAGTAGGATAAACCTGTGTTACAGATCACCAGGTCCTCACCCCACGGTGTTGGCACTATATTACAATTTGTTCTGGTTATGAATATAATAACAACATTAATACATATACACATACATAGACACATACACACACACATACATATACATATATATATATATATATATACATACATACACATATACATACATATACATACACACACACACATACATACACATATATACACATATATAGTTAAGGTTATACAACCGATATATCCTACACACACTTACACAATATACATTATTTTAATAATATTTTCATAAGTTGTAATTTAATACGTAACCTTCAGTAATTTCTCCGTGTCATCGTACGTCAGACTCAATAACCATGTTTTAAGTGCAGTTTTACAATTGAAGTGTGAATATGAATATATGTTCAAAATACGGTTTATATTATTATAAACTTATATAATTTGTTTAAATCTATATTAGTGGTTACAACTATATTATGCTTTTAAAGTTACCAATTACAATAAAAAAACAAACAATATATTACCTGTAAGTCAGGGTTCTCTAATATCTCCTGTAATTCATCAATAGTCAATTCTCCTAACTCAGGGAACAGTAAGGACTGAGCACTGATCTGAGACTGTGGGCTTACATCGCTGCACTTATCATCACTGTTTGTAAGATTCGGTAATGTCCTTTGGAACTCACGTATAATAGCTTGGACTACACGTCCTAAATCCGAATGTAAGCTGTAATTAATAAGTCCAGGGGCACCAACAATTTGATTCGAATTCTCCGCAAGCCAGGGATGCGGCACAGCGGGATTCACGTATATAGAAGGCTTCTCGTTAGGAAACTCAGGGCTCAGTACAACATTTAAGCTCATATTTTTGCCATCAGCAGTAAACTCCACCCGATACTCAGAGTTTTCATCAATCTCTATAACATTATCGTTGAAGATTTTCAATGTGTCTATTTGTCGTTTTCTCATATCTTGCTCGTTGTAATACGTCCTTGGAAGCATTTTATTTATATACTCTTAACTTTTATATAAGAAATATTAACAAAATACGAAAGATATAAAATATAAACAATTTTTTATATTTTGTGATCAATGTGACAGCTATTTGATGCGAACTAGATACAACATTCACTTTATTTTAATAGATAAATTTTATTTTTACTTCGTTTGCTATTGTTAAGCTGAATAATAAAAATTTTAGAACAAAAACAAAATCTCAACGCAAACAAATCAAATCAATAAAAGTTTTTTGTTTGATTTTCGCATCTAATTTAGAAATTTGCACGTGAATGACACCTTTATCTCTCTTAGATGATTGGTTGTTTTTGTAAACAAAAATTATTCAGCCAATAGAAACATAATATTCTGTGGCATTGTTCGTCTGGTACATCACGTTTTTGTCATTGAAAACTTTCTGATACTGTCATTTTTTTTTTTTTTTTTTAGTACGTTTGTTCCGTTTGGAACAGGCTAAGGTCGGAGACCATGCTGCCTAGTCTTCAAAAAGATAAATTGTCTGGAATTTTATTTTTCTAATGTCGCTTCAATTATTGTCATAATCTTCAATATTTCATTTGTCAAATCCGGTAAGTACATTTTCATAAATATCTTTTCTTGAGTTTTCTTAAACCAGTGGATTTATCAAATTAAAAATAAATAATTATAAAAAATCATTGTCTTGCAATTCAATAAAAGTATTCTTATAGCTCCTTGAATGTTGTAGTAATATAAGTGAAAATAGCTTTGAAACAAGAAGGAAATCTTAAGAGAAGCGGGATTGAGTGCGGGATATTTTCGGGTTTTTTGAAGATAATCCTAAGTTCGTCAAACATAATGTGTCTTTGAATGACAAATTCAGAGCAATCAAAAAAAAGGTGATGTAGAGATTGGGCTGTATTTGAGTTACACCATGTGCATGATGGGGAAGCGATCATGCCCATTCGGTGCAGGTGTTCGTTGAAATGTCCGTGGCCGATTCGTAATCTACAAATATTGGTGTAAAATTTTCTGTTTGTGTCCTTTCCTTTGCAGAACCACGGTTTTCCAATACGCCAATTAATTTTGCGGTACCATTTGCCTTTAGTCTGTAATATTTGAGTCCAATGCTCCTCCCATTTAGTTGTAACGATTTTATGTATTCCAATACTACAATCTGAATAACAAAGGGGTAAATCTTGAACACGAGCAGCACTTGAATTAATAATTTTAGCCAAAGTGTCTACTTGTTCATTCCCAAACACTCCAATATGTGAAGGGGTCCAGATGAAGATAATATCTTTTCCATATATAGTACAGAGATGATAATATTTATTACGAATTTCTTGAATTAAGTAGTTTGATGATGAAATGAATGTGTTATTTTATAATGCCATAAGAACACTCATACTATCTGTAATTATAATCCATTTCGAATATAGTACCTGTTTTTCTATGTATTCTAATGCTAAAAATATAGCTTTTGCTTCTGCTGTGTAAATACTAGCCAAAGTTGAAATTTTATAACCGTGACCAAATCTATTTGACAAATCGTAAAAAGCCACTGAAGTGCTAAGTGCATTTTTGGAACCATCTGTATATATCTGCCTGTAGTCAATAAATTCTGATAAAGTCTCATACATATCGTGCTTTTCTTTTATGTCTTTACGTATAACAATTTTGATCTTACAGAACTTACTCTCATAAAGGCCATTATAACAAGGAAGTATCTTACTACTATAGATGTTATATTCATCTCGTAAATTCAAATCATTGACAATAGTTTTATTCAAAAACATAGAAATGGGGCAATTTAATAATTTGAGTATGAGTGGGTTATTGGAAACTGAAAAAACTTTGAAGAGAAATTTGAGTTTTAGGTATTCGAAACGAAGAAGGATAGGAGGCAAATTACATTCTACTTGCATTGAGATAATTGGAGAAGTATACATAGCACCTAAAATAAGTCTTAAATTCATATTTTGAATTTTTTCGAGTTTTTCTACTAATTTATGTTCTGAGGCATAACAAAAGAAAGCGTAATCAAAATTACTTCTAACAAGAGATTTGTAAAGTAAAAGGATAATTTTAGGATCAGCTCCCCAGTTACGACCAATTACAGATCTTATTATATTAGTGGCTCTTAAAGCACGATCTACTAAGCAATCAGCGTATAGATCCCATTTTAAATTTTGATGAAAAATTACCCCCAGAAATTTAACGCTACAGTCTGTTGGAAGAGTTTGATTATTATATATAATATTCATTAATGGAACATATTTATGAACTTGATGAAAAACAACTACTTTACTTTTGGTTAAACTAATATCGAGGGAAAGAAGAGAAAAATATTTCTCAAGTCTTTTTAATGACTCATTTAACACTAATTGCATATCAATAATATTCTTTCCTTTTATATAAATTAATAAATCATCGGCAAATTGCAAGTTGTTCACACTGTTTCCTAAAATTGAATTAAGTTTATAGATATATAAAATATATAGTAGCGGGCTTAGAATACCACCTTGACATACTCCTTTAGAGCTTAACCTAGGTCCTATTAATTTACTATTTACTTTAACATACACTTCTCTATTACTAAGAAAATTATAAATCCATTCGATAAGTTTCATTGGAAGAAATGAGGATAAAATCGAAGATAGAACTGTTAAATTTACATTGTTAAAAGCTCCTACGACATCTAAAAAAACAGATAGAACATATTCATCGTTATTCAAAGCAGTACTAAGGTCGACATAGAAGTTCGCTAAACTTTCGCGCGCTGAATATCCACGGCGAAAACCAAATTGATTCGATGGTAATATACTATTACTTTCAATAAAGAACTCTAAACGCTGTTTAATTAATTGTTCGAATAATTTGCCTGCACAGGACGTCAATGTTATAGGTCTATAGGAGTCGAAATTTGTAGGATCTTTACCGGGTTTAATTACTGGAATCAAACAATCCATTTTCCATTCTGGTGGGATAATACAGTCCTTCCATAAATCGTTAAAAATTTGTAAGAGTTTAGTAAGGTTTATTTTATTCAGCAATCGAAACATATTGTATGTTAAGCGATCAAGGCCACTAGCTGTATCTTTTCTAGATTTTACTGCACTGGATATTTCATCAATTGAGAATGGGTCAGTGAGAAATTTTGGGCATGAATTAACAGAATTAAACTGTTTGTCATCAAAAGGTGAGTGTACAAAATCAGGAGTATATTTGCGTAAAAAATCATTGACCCATGATATATCTTTAAAATGATTTTGACGATGTTTTGAATTTAGTTTTCTCATATTTTGCCAAACAGTGGAAATTGGTGTTAATCTATTAAATTTGGAACAAAATTCCTGCCACCCCTGTTGTCTTACTTGCTTAATTACTAACTTTTTAACAGCTTGAACTCTTTTAAAATTTATGTAATTATCGAGAGTTGGATTTTGTTTAAACCTAAGGTAAGCCGCTTTACTATCATTGACAGCTGTCGCACACCTGTTATTCCACCAAGGTACTGCAATATGTTTGTGCCTCTTTGAAGTATTTGCACCGCTATTTGATAAGTTCCTACGTGGAACGGAACGTTCCACAGCTGTCAAAATAATTTTACAGAACCTATTGTAATTGTTTAAGGGTTCATTGACATCATACTCGAAATCCAAAAGTAATCGATTAACAGTTTCAGAATAAAGATCCCAATTAACGAGACGTAGGTTTATACGATTTAACAAAAGTTTATTAACTTCATCTATAGGAGCATGTTGTTCACCTGACGGAGTTGATGAAGAGTTCTTTGTGTTTATTTTAGTAAAAGTCGGCAGGTGATAACTTCCTAACGGATCATCATGAACCGACCACTCGCATTTTAATGATATGGATGGGGATACCATAGTTAAATCAAGGCCATTGGGTCTCCAAATATGAGAGCCAACAGTAGTAACTTGCTTATCATTTAATAGTACCAAATTACATTCATCTAAACAATCAAGAATGTCTTTACCTCTTGTATTAGTGGAGGTACAACCCCACATAGTATGATGTGCATTTAAATCTCCAGATATGATAGTGGGTTTAGGAAGAGACTCCAAAAAGAACTTAAATTTGGCTTTAGTAAAACTAGGTGTACTATTGGTAGGACAGTAAATACTGGCAACTGAATACCAAGAATTATTAACTTCAATACTAATAGCTATAGTTTGCAAAGAATTGTCGAAAAAAGAGTGAAGTTTTTTATATCTAATACTATTATGTATAATAATCGCTACTCCATTGTGGTTATTACCACAATCATTTCGTTCTATACAATAATCTTTAATTTTTAATTTGTAATGTGGTTTTAGCCAAGTTTCTGAGATGAGAGCAATGTGAATATGATGTTCATTTAAAAATTGTGTAAAAATATGTCGATTGCTCAGTAGGCTCTGAGCGTTCCACTGTATGATAGTTAATTGGTCTCGATTGAATTTTGTGAAATAGGTCTATTACCAAAAGTATCATATAACACATTCAAAACACTTTTAGTGTTAATAGATGTGTTCTTTGTGTTATGTAGTGAAATAAGTTTGATTATGCTTTCTATTAAAAGTGATAAACTCTTGTTATCAGAATTTAGAATTGAAATTAGGTCTACATTTTTTTTAGGTTTGTTACCCAGTTTAGGAAATATTTCAGTGCTAAGTATATCTCCAAAAGAAGCAGGTCTGAATTTAGATCTATTTTCAGCAATTTTCTTTTGTTTAACAGGGCATTGCGGTGATACACTTGTGTGATTTCCATTGCAGTGTACACAAATAGCGTTTTCCATTCCAGTTGTACAAGTTTTATAATTATGCTCACCTTTGCAGATGCTGCAACGCTCAGAATTCTTACAGAATTTAGCTAAATGTCCATACCTCAAGCACCGGTAGCATTGTTTAACTGGTGGTATATATGGAGTGACATTGTGGCGCCAACCTCCAATATCCAGATATTCAGGTAATACAGATGCAGCAAAAGTAATTGTCACGGTTAGAGTTGGCTGTAACACATATCCATGAGTCAAGGTATTTTTTCTTAAAATTCTTTTAATAGCAATAATTTTCTTAGAACTCGATATCATAGTATATATTTTTTTATTAGATATATTTGTAGGTACATTTCTAATAACGCCTGTAACTTCTGTTGAAGAAGCAGGAATACTGGCCTTAAAATGGTAGTCATTTAAAAAAGTTTTATTATTTAAAAAAGCATTGGCTAAGTCTGGCTTTTGAAAGTATACTCCGATTTTGAATTTATTTATAGATCTAAGATAAGTTACCCCTTTATTAAATCGTTTTAAACAGGAGGAGAGTGAGAGCAAGTCTCTGGATCCAATGGTTTTCTGACTATCTGAGGATTCTACAAAGACAACAAATTCTGTCCCAGGGGATTCCTCGGGATATCTTCTAATATAATCTGTGACGTAGTAAGGTTTATACTTATCGGCCTTATCAATTTCAGATTCTGAGTCAGTAGAAGTATCTTCCGAATATATATCCTTGTCATTACAAGGTTCATGGTCTACATCACCTGAATCGTCATCTTTTTTTTCCTTTTTCTACAACTGCGCTTCCCCATGAATGCTAATTATATTACTGTCGCTGAATTTAGTGAAAATATAATATTTTATTAAATAATAAGAATTGATAGAGATAGTTTTAATAAATTAATAAAAAAAATTTAAAAAACCCGCTTGTTCTTATTCGAGTTTCCCGCCTTTTTTTCCCAATAGGTTCTGTAAAATTATTTTGACAGCTGTGGAACGTTCCGTTCCACGTAGGAACTTATCAAATAGCGGTGCAAATACTTCAAAGAGGCACAAACATATTGCAGTACCTTGGTGGAATAACAGGTGTGCGACAGCTGTCAATGATAGTAAAGCGGCTTACCTTAGGTTTAAACAAAATCCAACTCTCGATAATTACATAAATTTTAAAAGAGTTCAAGCTGTTAAAAGTTAGTAATTAAGCAAGTAAAAATAACAATTATGGCAAAATTTTGTTCCAAATTTAATAGATTAACACCAATTTCCACTGTTTGGCAAAATATGAGAAAACTAAATTCAAAACATCGTCAAAATCATTTTAAAGATATATCATGGGTCAATGATTTTTTACGCAAATATACTCCTGATTTTGTACACTCACCTTTTGATGACAAACAGTTTAATTCTGTTAATTCATGCCCAAAATTTCTCACTGACCCATTCTCAATTGATGAAATATCCAGTGCAGTAAAATCTAGAAAAGATACAGCTAGTGGCCTTGATCGCTTAACATACAATATGTTTCGATTGCTGAATAAAATAAACCTTACTAAACTCTTACAAATTTTTAACGATTTATGGAAGGACTGTATTATCCCACCAGAATGGAAAATGGATTGTTTGATTCCAGTAATTAAACCCGGTAAAGATCCTACAAATTTCGACTCCTATAGACCTATAACATTGACGTCCTGTGCAGGCAAATTATTCGAACAATTAATTAAACAGCGTTTAGAGTTCTTTATTGAAAGTAATAGTATATTACCATCGAATCAATTTGGTTTTCGCCGTGGATATTCAGCGCGCGAAAGTTTAGCGAACTTCTATGTCGACCTTAGTACTGCTTTGAATAACGATGAATATGTTCTATCTGTTTTTTTAGATGTCGTAGGAGCTTTTAACAATGTAAATTTAACAGTTCTATCTTCGATTCTATCCTCATTTCTTCCAATGAAACTTATCGAATGGATTTATAATTTTCTTAGTAATAGAGAAGTGTATGTTAAAGTAAATAGTAAATTAATAGGACCTAGGTTAAGCTCTAAAGGAGTATGTCAAGGTGGTATTTTAAGCCCGCTACTATATATTTTATATATCTATAAACTTAATTTAGTTTTAGGAAACAGTGTGAACAACTTGCAATTTGCCGATGATTTATTAATTTATATAAAAGGAAAGAATATTATTGATATGCAATTAGTGTTAAATGAGTCATTAAAAAGACTTGAGAAATATTTTTCTCTTCTTTCCCTCGATATTAGTTTAACCAAAAGTAAAGTAGTTGTTTTTCATCAAGTTCATAAATATGTTCCATTAATGAATATTATATATAATAATCAAACTCTTCCAACAGACTGTAGCGTTAAATTTCTGGGGGTAATTTTTCATCAAAATTTAAAATGGGATCTATACGCTGATTGCTTAGTAGATCGTGCTTTAAGAGCCACTAATATAATAAGATCTGTAATTGGTCGTAACTGGGGAGCTGATCCTAAAATTATCCTTTTACTTTACAAATCTCTTGTTAGAAGTAATTTTGATTACGCTTTCTTTTGTTATGCCTCAGAACATAAATTAGTAGAAAAACTCGAAAAAATTCAAAATATGAATTTAAGACTTATTTTAGGTGCTATGTATACTTCTCCAATTATCTCAATGCAAGTAGAATGTAATTTGCCTCCTATCCTTCTTCGTTTCGAATACCTAAAACTCAAATTTCTCTTCAAAGTTTTTTCAGTTTCCTATAACCCACTCATACTCAAATTATTAAATTGCCCCATTTCTATGTTTTTGAATAAAACTATTGTCAATGATTTGAATTTACGAGATGAATATAACATCTATAGTAGTAAGATACTTCCTTGTTATAATGGCCTTTATGAGAGTAAGTTCTGTAAGATCAAAATTGTTATACGTAAAGACATAAAAGAAAAGCACGATATGTATGAGACTTTATCAGAATTTATTGACTACAGGCAGATATATACAGATGGTTCCAAAAATGCACTTAGCACTTCAGTGGCTTTTTACGATTTGTCAAATAGATTTGGTCACGGTTATAAAATTTCAACTTTGGCTAGTATTTACACAGCAGAAGCAAAAGCTATATTTTTAGCATTAGAATACATAGAAAAACAGGTACTATATTCGAAATGGATTATAATTACAGATAGTATGAGTGTTCTTATGGCATTATAAAATAACACATTCATTTCATCATCAAACTACTTAATTCAAGAAATTCGTAATAAATATTATCATCTCTGTACTATATATGGAAAAGATATTATCTTCATCTGGACCCCTTCACATATTGGAGTGTTTGGGAATGAACAAGTAGACACTTTGGCTAAAATTATTAATTCAAGTGCTGCTCGTGTTCAAGATTTACCCCTTTGTTATTCAGATTGTAGTATTGGAATACATAAAATCGTTACAACTAAATGGGAGGAGCATTGGACTCAAATATTACAGACTAAAGGCAAATGGTACCGCAAAATTAATTGGCGTATTGGAAAACCGTGGTTCTGCAAAGGAAAGGACACAAACAGAAAATTTTACACCAATATTTGTAGATTACGAATCGGCCACGGACATTTCAACGAACACCTGCACCGAATGGGCATGATCGCTTCCCCATCATGCACATGGTGTAACTCAAATACAGCCCAATCTCTACATCACCTTTTTTTGATTGCTCTGAATTTGTCATTCAAAGACACATTATGTTTGACGAACTTAGGATTATCTTCAAAAAACCCGAAAATATCCCGCACTCAATCCCGCTTCTCTTAAGATTTCCTTCTTGTTTCAAAGCTATTTTCACTTATATTACTACAACATTCAAGGAGCTATAAGAATACTTTTATTGAATTGCAAGACAATGATTTTTTATAATTATTTATTTTTAATTTGATAAATCCACTGGTTTAAGAAAACTCAAGAAAAGATATTTATGAAAATGTACTTACCGGATTTGACAAATGAAATATTGAAGATTATGACAATAATTGAAGCGACATTAGAAAAATAAAATTCCAGACAAATTATCTTTTTGAAGACTAGGCAGCATGGTCTCCGACCTTAGCCTGTTCCAAACGGAACAAACGTACTAAAAAAAAAAAAAAAAAAAAGAACCTATTGTAATTGTTTAAGGGTTCATTGACATCATACTCGAAATCCAAAAGTAATCGATTAACAGTTTCAGAATAAAGATCCCAATTAACGAGACGTAGGTTTATACGATTTAACAAAAGTTTATTAACTTCATCTATAGGAGCATGTTGTTCACCTGACGGAGTTGATGAAGAGTTCTTTGTGTTTATTTTAGTAAAAGTCGGCAGGTGATAACTTCCGTGTATTCATAATGATCCGTTAGATCATCATGAACCGACCACTCGCATTTTAATGATATGGATGGGGATACCATAGTTAAATCAAGGCCATTGGGTCTCCAAATATGAGAGCCAACAGTAGTAACTTGCTTATCATTTAATAGTACCAAATTACATTCATCTAAACAATCAAGAATGTCTTTACCTCTTGTATTAGTGGAGGTACAACCCCACATAGTATGATGTGCATTTAAATCTCCAGATATGATAGTGGGTTTAGGAAGAGACTCCAAAAAGAACTTAAATTTGGCTTTAGTAAAACTAGGTGTACTATTGGTAGGACAGTAAATACTGGCAACTGAATACCAAGAATTATTAACTTCAATACTAATAGCTATAGTTTGCAAAGAATTGTCGAAAAAAGAGTGAAGTTTTTTATATCTAATACTATTATGTATAATAATCGCTACTCCATTGTGGTTATTACCACAATCATTTCGTTCTATTCAATAATCTTTAATTTTTAATTTGTAATGTGGTTTTAGCCAAGTTTCTGAGATGAGAGCAATGTGAATATGATGTTCATTTAAAAATTGTGTAAAAATATGTCGATTGCTCAGTAGGCTCTGAGCGTTCCACTGTATGATAGTTAATTGGTCTCGATTGAATTTTGTGAAATAGGTCTATTACCAAAAGTATCATATAACACATTCAAAACACTTTTAGTGTTAATAGATGTGTTCTTTGTGTTATGTAGTGAAATAAGTTTGATTATGCTTTCTATTAAAAGTGATAAACTCTTGTTATCAGAATTTAGAATTGAAATTAGGTCTACATTTTTTTTAGGTTTGTTACCCAGTTTAGGAAATATTTCAGTGCTAAGTATATCTCCAAAAGAAGCAGGTCTGAATTTAGATCTATTTTCAGCAATTTTCTTTTGTTTAACAGGGCATTGCGGTGATACACTTGTGTGATTTCCATTGCAGTGTACACAAATAGCGTTTTCCATTCCAGTTGTACAAGTTTTATAATTATGCTCACCTTTGCAGATGCTGCAACGCTCAGAATTCTTACAGAATTTAGCTAAATGTCCATACCTCAAGCACCGGTAGCATTGTTTAACTGGTGGTATATATGGAGTGACATTGTGGCGCCAACCTCCAATATCCAGATATTCAGGTAATACAGATGCAGCAAAAGTAATTGTCACGGTTAGAGTTGGCTGTAACACATATCCATGAGTCAAGGTATTTTTTCTTAAAATTCTTTTAATAGCAATAATTTTCTTAGAACTCGATATCATAGTATATATTTTTTTATTAGATATATTTGTAGGTACATTTCTAATAACGCCTGTAACTTCTGTTGAAGAAGCAGGAATACTGGCCTTAAAATGGTAGTCATTTAAAAAAGTTTTATTATTTAAAAAAGCATTGGCTAAGTCTGGCTTTTGAAAGTATACTCCGATTTTGAATTTATTTATAGATCTAAGATAAGTTACCCCTTTATTAAATCGTTTTAAACAGGAGGAGAGTGAGAGCAAGTCTCTGGATCCAATGGTTTTCTGACTATCTGAGGATTCTACAAAGACAACAAATTCTGTCCCAGGGGATTCCTCGGGATATCTTCTAATATAATCTGTGACGTAGTAAGGTTTATACTTATCGGCCTTATCAATTTCAGATTCTGAGTCAGTAGAAGTATCTTCCGAATATATATCCTTGTCATTACAAGGTTCATGGTCTACATCACCTGAATCGTCATCTTTTTTTTTCCTTTTTCTACAACTGCGCTTCCCCATGAATGCTAATTATATTACTGTCGCTGAATTTAGTGAAAATATAATATTTTATTAAATAATAAGAATTGATAGAGATAGTTTTAATAAATTAATAAAAAAAATTTAAAAAACCCGCTTGTTCTTATTCGAGTTTCCCGCCTCTCTCTTCCTGATACTGTCACTGTCAGTTGTCATTCAATGTAATTTTTTTAAATGATATGGGTTTAGAACACATTCTTTTTAACTTGTAGGTATGTTGCATTATGTTTGGCCTGTTTTATATTTATAATTTATAAACAATTATTCACTTGCATAAAAAAATCTATATTGCAATAGAAAGTTTACGACTCGACGTTTTATAGAAGGAATATTATATTTGAAACAAGATGAAATTCCAGAGTCAGTAATAAAAAAAAATAAGCGTTACCGTTTAAATTCTATTAAAGTCTTTACTTAAGACAAAATATCCCAAAAACAATAGAATAGAATATTATTACTATAAGCTAGAAATTGTTCCTTAATTAAAGTAATAGCAATAAGTTGCAGCGATTATCAATATTGTATATTTGCTAGTAAATTAGAATAAGTAGATATTATAAATTTTTATATTGAAAATTTTACTAAATTGAAGATTCTTTAAAAAGTTTAGCTTTACATAATGTCATAGAAAGAGGACCGTAGGCACTAAAGCTATGGATGTTACTGTAGAATAAAGACGTCAATCTACGAGAGGCGAAAACGGACACTCCGTTTTTTTCGAAAATTTGTGTAACTTAATGTTCTTTGTAATTTTCTCTTCCCAAAAAGTGAGATGAAAATTATGACGGTAGAAGTTTGCACACCAATAAGTTAACTTTTTTTTTTAATATAGTATGACATGTGACTGTATTGCTATCCTGAGCGAAAACAGAGACAACATGTTCCATGAATACGGTTAAAAGAAAAGAAAATGTTTTACACTCAACAGCTGGCCGCACTATGCCAGACTCACTAAGTGCTTTTTCACACTATGTTTTTTTATACCACTTAGAATAGCAAACAAGCTGATGGCCCACCTGATGGAAAGTGGTAACCGTCGCCTATAGACATGAGCAGTACCATGGACATAACAGAGTATACTGTTTCGTCCATGATACCCCCCATGCGTTGCCTCTGTACCCAGTAAATTCTAATTTGTTAACCAGATAAAATTTTATCAGAGGGAGATGATGGAGGAAGAGTCATCTGCTTATTGCCGCTAGGGGTACCTCCGTCTAATTCGTATTTCTGCCGTGAAGCAGTTTTTTTTTAATGGATGATAATGGAATGGTAACCCCGCCTGCGTTATCGGTATACACTGGAGAGGCACCAGTGAAGGATGATAGGTGAGGTTGTAGCAGGTCAGTTAGCCCACCGTGACGAATCTAACAATAAATCAATCACGATGGTTTCCAGGGGGAACCACGAGGAGGTCGACCTGACAGGGTATATTGTTAACAATGGGGCTACTAATTCAATAGGGATTAATAATCCCTACTCCCCCCGCCGTGAAGCAGTTGTGAGTGGATGATTTTGGTTAGAAGATTGAAATGTGGCTGTGAAATTACAGGGTGCCGGGGTTTAACACCTTAGTCCTTAGGAATAGCAACGCATGTAGAGTATTATGGGCGACACAGTATACTCTGTTATATGTATTTCACGGTACTGTTTATGTCTATTTATACCATTTTCCATCAGGTGGACAATAAACGTAAGATATTTCCTTCTTAATGTGTTTAAAACTGTGATACGTTGACAAGAAAAATTATTATTTATAAAAATCAGATGAATTAAGAACCTCTTTCTTTGAAATGTCACTTAAAAAGTATTAGGTGAAGTTCTAGTAGTAAGATATTTAGATAAAGTATATTGTATGCGCTCAGTGCTGAATTGATTTAAATAAATTATGTCTTAGGTATTATTTAGTTTGGTAAATAAATATATTATGCAGTAACACAGAATGTAATGTAATGTAATGCAATTAGATCTGTACATTCCATTCACTCTACAAGATCTTTTAAATGTATTGCACTGACGAATCTTCGTAAGTACGTACCTATCTAGAATCTCAGGTTCAAGCCGACTTTATGGATGCCAAAATGACCTACTGCCCACCCCAGTTACCAGCTCAGTGGGAGGGATGCCTGGACATCCAGTCAACAACAATATCAGGAATTCATTCATAACAGTGCCCACTTTCTATCGAAACGGTGGCTTCTAAACGGACACAAAACTACAGAGGTCGCATCGCATCGAATAACCTAAAAATTCGAACTTTGCATAATATACGGCCAAGTGCTAGCGGCGATTTTTATGTAATATGCTGTAATAAAGTTATGCAACTATCATTTTGGCCTCATATTTTGGCGGGTTGCGATAGTCTGCAATGCGCCATGGTGGTAGCCGTTCGCGCGCTTTCATTTGACATTTGAGTGCGTTCCGAATTTGAATCGTCATCAACTGAACTGTGTGTGTTTTGTGAGCTATTTTTTTTTAAGTGATCACAGTGTATGACTTTTTTTTAAGACTAAGGAATCTAAATTGGGTGAGTTGTATAACTAATTTTGTAATTAAATGTTATATCATTGTTTTCTGGCACGGTTTAATGTATGCGATATTTCGAAAGGTTTTTATCTGGGTTTTATAAACACGACTTGTGAAAGTTGCTGCTTCGTGAAGGAAATGCGTTAGTGTCATGCATTAACAGTTTTTTTTTTATGGAGTGTGTGAACGTGTGATATGAAACGAATGCTAATATAGGTGAGTATAAAAATTGCACGACCCAGTTACGGAAGTTATATGTCTATGCTTTTTCCTACTTAAGAATCTCCCAGAAATCACGGCATCTGATATCAAATTAGGAATTTAATCAGCTGTACCGCAAATAGCAAATTCATAATGGTTATTAATTATTAAAAAAAAAAAAAAAAACATTCTTTGACTCCCAGTTACCGCGCAAACTTCAACTGAAAAAAAAAATGTTTTTGTTTATACATTTGGTAACGCTTCACAGTCTTATCGAGATAGCTTTTTTTATTATGGAAATATATATTTTACCGTAAACTAAATCGAATACTGGTATTTTCCTTATTACTCGATGGAGCGAAGCCAAAAGAAAATGGTTCATGATTTACATAGTTTAAATATTACGTATCTAAGTTGATACTTCTTGTAACTAAGTATATGACAATGAAATTATTGGGTACAGAGGCATAACACCTTAGGTCTCAGGAATGGCAACGCATGGGGGCTGTCATGGACGACATAGTACACTCTGTTATGTCCATGACAGTGTTCATGTCTATAGGCGACGGTTACAACTTTCCATCAGGTGGGCCGGCAGCTCGTTTTCCATGCTAAGTTGCATAAAAAAACTTATTGACCAGTTTTTTTAATCGGTAAAAGAACGAAATTGTAACCAAGTTAGTGCTTTCGGTATACGCTGGCGGTGCACCAGTAACAGATGATAGGTGGGGATGAAAAGGCAGGTCAGTTAGCCCATCGTGACGAATTCGACGACAAATTAGTCACGATAGTTTCCAGGGGGAAGCGTGTGACAGATGTGGAGAGTGCGAAAGCGAACCCTGTCTTCGACATATGGCACCTCGAGGGTATATCGTCTGGTTTTTGGTGGGTACACCCCCACCTTACGGGGGGATTCCCACAGTACATAGATACATAGTAGATGAAGCTGTATAAAGCATTTTCCAGACGATAAAAAAAAGGGGGAAGCGCGTGGAGGTCGACCTGATAGGGTATACTGATAGCAATGGAAACTTACCCCATTACTAACAATCCCTTCCCCCCGAGCATACCTATTAGCGACCAGCTGTTTTGTAGGCACATCACTTGGATTGAATTTTTTTTCACCACTCGAGTGGCAAACAAGCAAACGGCCCACCTGACAGTAAGCAGTTACCTCCAACCTATGAACATCTGCAATACCGGGGGCATTAAGTGCGCGTTGCCGACCCTGAAGAAACCTCTGTACCCCTTTTTTAAAAGAAACTCATGCTGTAGTCTTTTGGAAAAACTTCGACATTCCATAATCTGAGCGTTCGTGTATATTTGAATTTAGAATATGAAAAACTTGTTTCGTAATAAGCAACTTTTTGCTGTACAAAGGAAAACAGTGACTTTTATCCTTAGAAAATTAATGCAGGAACAACATAAGGTAAACCTCAGAGATTAGGTGGAAAGGGATAGGAAAAGGATCTACAAGTCCCATTGCCAGCAATATATCAAGGAATAATAAAATCAGGTTGACCTCTCCTTGGAAACTATCTATCATATCTCACTGGTGCCCCGTCAGCGTATACCAATGGCGTAAGCAGGGTTATCATTCCATTTTCACCCATTAAAAGGCCTCATCAACTGCAAAAAGACCCATCAAAATCGATTTAGACTCAAAGGTGTAATATGGCAACAAAAATAGAGATGAATCGAGAAATTGTTCCTCTTGGAAGTCGCTAAGAACAAATAATAGATATCTCGAGTTTGACAGAACGTAACTGTAATAAATTAGCACTTCCGTTAATGTAGAACACAAGTATACCTACAGTGTGAATCGAACCCACTACCCGTCGCGACCCATTTCACTAACCTTGTCAGACGACCGCGCGACCTGCATACTGTACCAACACAATGAGTGTAGACTTGGGCAATTTTAATATATAACGGTCTCGTTTGTATAACGACGGTGTACGGAATAAGAAAGGAAAGAGTTATTTAGACTATGGTGTAGCTCTATGTCTGTGCCATTTTAATGTTTTAAAAACATCGAATTTTATAAAATTGGCTTAAATTTCGTTTGTTAGGCAATCTTTGAACTAATAATTATATATATATATATATATATATAATTATATATATATATATATATATATATATATATATATATATATATATATATATATATATATATACTGATTCCAAATAACAAACATTTAGGTAAATAAAAATTTAAATATTTATTGTCATTTACAACGAAAACGAGAAATAACGGAATCGCTTAGGCGAATTTGTGGGAGAAAGTATCGAATTTATCTGATTTTTTTGTGCAAACAAAATCCCTACTGTGTTATTACTAATTCAAGGCAAATAATTCTATTAAAAAAAAATCGTTTGTTACCGATTGGCGTCTTAACAGTTTAACCATTCGTTAGGAAATTTAGTGTATAAATAGTATTTGAGGTGAAGTAAAATACTATTTATTACGGCCAATAAAATATCCTGATCACACGACAAATTAGCAGGTAAAGTCTAGTAACAAAAAAGTCTCTAATTGTATTCATCCAGGACATCGTAAAAGAACCGACCAGTGCAACAGAAGGAAAAATCTTATTATTATAAGAAAATTGTAACTAATAAATGTCTATATATGAGAAATGTATAAAAAAAAAATTACGTCAGGGGTCTTTATACGAGGAAGAGAAGCTGAAGTAGTTATATTTGGAATATTCGTGTATCTATTTGTATGTTTCTTCCGATGTCAGAAAAAAAATAATGGACTAAATTATATACGATTTTCAGTTTTATTCCTGAATGTCCTGAATATTAATTTGTAAAATTTGGTGTATATTTTATTTTGATACGCCATCTATAAGTAGTTGCCTATTTCAAAAATTTACGTGATTCGTTCATTTTTTTTTTTTTATACAATTTAGAATGGCATTCAAGCTGACGGCCCAGCTGATGGAAAGTGGTAACCGTCGCCTTTAGACATGAGTAATATTGGTACATCTTCAATATCCATATATTGGAATTTTTTTATATTGGCAGTGGAAAAGAGATCTGTATTAATTTCGATCAAGATCTTCATTTCATGTTGGACTTTAAATGTTAGAGAGACTTTGTACAAAAGTCGATTGCTTAGGTACCTCTGTCCCATACGTGTTTCAACCGTGAAGCAGTTGTTTGCATGGCTGTGTTTCGGTTTGAAGGGTGGGAAATGACGTGAATTTACTGGGTACAGAGGAATAACACCTGAGTCCTCAGGAATGGCAACGCATGGGAGGTATCATGGGCGAAACAGTATACTCTGTTATGTCCATGGTACTGCTCATGTCTATAGGCGACGGTTACCACTTTCCATCAGGTGGGCCGTCAGCTTGTTTGCCATTCTAAGTTGTATAAAAAAAAAAAGATAACAAACATTTAACATATTTCTTGTTGAACCAGAGTTTAAATAGTGTAATTAAAATTTATAGTTATTCCTGTCGCCTGTCGCTGACTCTTACTAATGTTTATAATATAGCCCAAACGATTTCACTACAAAATTTAATACAGCGTGACTTTAAACTTTTTAGAATGCAATCTCAAAAATGTACCAATCGTATTTCAAAAAATGCAATATGCTCGCTTACGTATTCATCGCAAGTTACGACTGCATTAACTAGCATATAAAATTTTCAGCATTACTTATTAATATTACAATGATATTTTATTTGGCTTTGACCTATTATTTACGTCACAAATTTATAATTACATAGAAGCGTTAACATCTTACAACAATTTAGAATGTGTTTCTCAATTTAACTCGTTTTATGTAATGATTACAATTATATAACATAACATCAGAATAGGCGTGTGAAGTATGGATATGAGATTTCATTCATTGTGACCATTACGACCCAGATAGCCAGCCATAGTGTAGATACAAATGACTAAATAATCACTGCACATTTATGATGATTTGTTGAAATTTTAACCCAAAAGTACAGGGGGAAAGGGATTGTTAGTAATGGAGTTTGACAGCCCCATTGCTAGCAATATGCCTAGGCCAACCTCCACGTGGTTCCCCCTGGAAACCATCGTGAACAATTCTTGTTGAATTCGTCACGATGGGCTAACTGACCTACTTCATCCTCACCTATCATCCTTCACTGGTGCCCCGCCGGTGTATACCGATAGCGCGGGTGGGGTTACCATTTTATTATCATCCAGTAAAAAAAAGAACCCAAGAATACATGTAGGTTTCTCAGGAAGTGCACCAATTAGGTTGTCTCTGTGATTTTTGTATGATAAATTTTAGTTGTTTGCTTATATCAGCATTATAAATAAATATCAGATTATAAAGAGAATGACAATCTACACAGATTTATCCTTGTTAACTTTTTATGAAAAATGAAAAAAAATATTCCACAAAAAAGTACTGAATTTAATAGCGAAAAACCGTTTATTTTGATTTTAAAAACCAAAGTATTGTACCGATTTGAAAGTATATCCCTTTAGATTAAAAATGTATACTCCAAATTGGTTTATAATCCTTTTTTGCATGATTTTTTTATTGATGAAATAAATCAAGGTGATATAATTCATGTTCAAAATTACAGGATAAATGGTTAAAAAAATAAATTTAACAGTTGTTTTTTTTGTGCAATGGACATTAAAAAGGTATCCAGACACGATCAACTTAAAGTGAACTTGTTCTTTTATATAATTTTTAGGCATTCAATGTTATGTTAAATTTCCACCATTATGCAAAGAAGGGATAAATAACGAAGTGACAAGGTATATAATAACATAAAAACATATTCAACCTAA